CCATGTACAGTACAGTACAGTACAGTAGCAAATAATTGCCGCATGGTTCCGCAAACATGAGCACATGAAAGTCTCTTGTCATTCATAGCATATAGACAAGCCAAATTTTGCGTCTTGACCAGACAAACTTTTGCATGATTTCTGGGCAGACACCAATTATCAAGAAGCACTCGCCTTTGGCCACCAAAAACCCGCGGATTTCCCTGAACCAGATATTAGGCATAAGGAGGAAAGGAAGCACTTTTCCAGCGGGAATCATAACAGAAAATAACGCAATTTCCCTGTACCTAATTTATCCAGAGTCTCCCAGGGAATTTCAGAGAAAGCAGGTCAATATTGAAACGTACCAAGCATAGAAACCATTCTTTCAAGCCCAACATATCAGTGCTAACATTTCAATGAATTTTTTTCTGAAAACAAAAATTAAAGGCAGATCAAAATGTGATCATACTTTTATATCAGCCCTTGCATGATTATCTTATGATTTTTTTGAAAAAGTATTTTAGCTAGATTCATCAAAGTGCTTTTGTGCTGTCATTTATTGTACCTGATACAAAATAATCTTATGTATAAGGAAATCACTTTTAAGAAACCTTAGTACTACATTATACTGTATATACAGTATAGCACTGATAGAAGCAAAATTATCAACTACAGTACTGGATATCTTTCATTAAAACAAGTTCATGGAAGTATTTTCAGCTTTCAATATACCATTTGGTTGAGATTTCCAGCATTGAATACCTGCATATGAAGCACACAGATGAACAGCAAGACATGTGTATAAGGAGAATGAAATTTCTCAGAAAAACACAATGGGAGGAAATTTACCCCACAATGCTAAAACATACACTACCCTACATGAGAAACTATATGCCATCATGGCAAAAAAGAACATATTTATATACTATTTCAGAACAAAATTAATACACATTCTAGAACCTTATGATAACTCAAACTGCCTTTGTCAGAAGCTCCCTATACCTCAAAGTTTTCCTTCATAAGTATCTGTGTCAGTACTACTTAGAATAAGCAGCTTAGCAACAGTTTAGATTGTCCTTATAACTAAAACATTCACAGGTATCCTTGTCAGACCAGACAAGGATTTTGTCTGCAACCATTTTCTCTGTATATTGACTTTTTTGGTCACTATATAGGGTTCTCTTCCCTAGGGTCACTCTACAACAAATTTCTGCAACACTTTTTTCCTGATAATACATTGAATTTTGTTTTAGAGAGAGTCCAGCACCTGTAAGTCACATTTCTGAACACGGTTTGAGAATCATATGTCACATCTGTTCACATGATTGAGTTATTGACACCAGGCAGGGAAAAATTCTATCAAAAGGACAAAAGTTTCACCCAGTTTGAGGAGGATTATATAATACTGTACCAAATCACAATCCAGCACATCATATTAATTTATTTAATGCCACAAAAGTTTGTCACAATAAATTATATACTGGCACCACACTTGCAACATTTTTTCCTGTTCGAGCGCTGAAAATTAAATTGTTACTCAGTTAATTTGTGTGCTTTTTTTAAATTTAAGAATGCCAGAGGCAACACACCTTCCCATGCTCAGCAGTCACAAGTCCTTGGCTGCATATGCTGACAACAAGGACATCCACACAGGCCCATCAAAGCCTGTACTCATCATGGCAATACACAACTTTAACCTCTATTTGCCAAACATCAGGTTCAATGCAGTGCAGAATCTAAACTGATCTAGGGATGATTTTTCAGCAGTTCATGCTATTAAATCATGAGAAAACCTGGGAATGAAGCACAGCAGTATACATTATACATACTGTATATACGTAATACAAAGGCAGGCTTATTAGCATTAGTGCCATAAAATGTGAGCTCCCACGAATCTTCCTGCACCCTGACGCCTAGGTTACTGAGGGTCAAGGAACCCCCCAAGATCTTATTTGTACTTTCATTTTTTGAAATTTAAATTCCTTCACTGCAGTGTTTCCGTTATGCGGAGTGGAATGTATAATGTTTGGGAGTCTCCAGCATGATCAGATATTCAAACAAACATAAAATAAAAATCCTGGGTTTCTTTTTGTTTCTTGAGCTGGGATGGGGAAAGAAAGGGGAAGAAGTAAATTTCCAGCGGTGATCCCTGCCATTCCCCCTTCGACCCCGCCACAAAAAAAGGCCTTTTATTTCTCTTCTGACCAACATATTTTTTAACAATGGGGGCCAGCTAACCCCAGAGTTACCAAACTTTTTCTTTCTTGCTGAATTGACCAGAAGGAAATTGGGTCAATTCAGCAGGATTTTAAATACATATTATCCGCAAAATTCTGCTACACTCCCAGCCTCAACATTTTTGCAGCACTTGTAATTTTTACAAAAATATTTAACACTAAGAGATTTATGAATATAAAAATGGGAATATGCACCAAGCTTGTATACTATAATAGGTTATAAGTACTAGTGCGGACACCTCAACCTGCGGACAATTCAACGTAGGGACACTTATTTTCTCAGAAAAAATTAATAAAAAAGGCCATGAGGAAACTGACTCAACATAAGGATATTTTTTATAAAATTGCAAATACTGAAAATTTCAGGCCAAATTACAAGAAACAGATATTTTCAACCCTGAAAGATGTAACATAAGTTCTTGGGCATTTCTCTCACCAATTTACTATCCATTTAGCTAATTTAAAAAAATTACCTTCATCATAGAAGGGACTTCTACTTTTTTTTTACTTAAATGTTATTCTTGTAAAGATGCCAACATTTCAATGTATAGCTAGTACAGTAGAGATTCACTATTCAATGCTCCAAATGTTCTTATTGAGTTGAAAATGTATTCACTAATTCAAATTCAAGTGGCAAACAATTTTTTCAGGGAATTCTGAAGAATATTTCTCCGATAAAACACCAATTAAAAATTATACAATGTAATTCTATGGGAAAACAAGACTCGACTTAGGGACACTCTTGATGTACCAATTGTGTCCGCATCTCGGGGTCTCACTGTATTCAAGCGCTTTTGAAGGAGTATTTCTATATTTCTGTTGATTCAAGGAAAATATAATTTAGAAATGCTGATACATAAAGGGGTCGGGAAGTTTTCGTAGGATATAAAATGTCGACACACACTGAAAATGAAATATAAAAATTATATAATGTAAGTCTATGGGAAAACAAGACTTGACTTGGGGAAATTTCAACTTAGGGACACTCTTGATGCACCAATTTGGTCTGCATCTTGAGGTCTCACTGATAACCTTTACATCTCTTCATAGGGCATTGTGGGATTTATTCCCAGAACAATTAACTTCATTTGTTATAGATTCCCTCATCCTTATAAGACAGGAACTTGTGGTAAACCAAATCCTGAAAAAATTTTCAAGGTGTTCCTTGGGACATTTTTTTCTTGATCTCCATTTTATCAACATTCCCTGAATCAACTTCAACAGCTGCTTAGTCTACCAGTAATTTTCAATGCATTATATAAATGTATGAAAAATTTTACTTGAGAACTATAGCTAGAATTTTGCTCGGAAAAGAATTAGTCTTTGTCACATGTTATCCTCTTGACTTTTCAACCTGACATCAGTCTTCACGGCATGTCATTAGCTAATGAACAAGTTGATACTTCTGAGTACATCTACATTGTCACTCATGAAGTCATGATGCAGAAAGATCTTAAATGGGCAAATGTAGGTATGAATTTCAAATTCCTCCTCATAGTGTTCCAAATTTATGCACTGAATCTAGGCAATTATTTGAGCAGGATGACGGCTTCCACATAAGGGAAACCAGCAGATAAGCTTAAAATAATGGGAGTATTTTATTTAAAAAAAAGATTGAAATTAAAAGTAACCGCAGTAAATTTGATCATCAAATACATTTTCTAATTGGTATCTGAATAAATATATAATACAATGGGGACAGTGCCATAGCAAAAATTGCTGTTTTGTTGGAATTCAATTTCAATCTGAAAAATGGTGTATTCTGCTGAAAGAAAAGCTTGCAAATGTAATACAGTTGAAGCTCGATAACTCACACCTCTCTATGCTGGGTATATTTTTGTTGCACAGCCTATGCAATTTTTCACAAGCAGCACAGAATTTCACAATTTTGTGTATGTTCCCCATGTCTATTTTCATACCTAATTGAATGACTAAACAGGCTGGGGGAAAATGTGTAGCACAGCCTGCATATTGTTCAAAATTGATATTGAGGCTGCATCATTAAATGAAGCAAACCTGTACATAGTAAAGAATGCACCAATAATGAATTAATTTATTCTCTGGCCTTTGTGTACATGCTAAAACATTGGATCAACTTCAGCAAAAAACTTCAGTTGTCTCTCATCCTTGTAAAACTTCAGGCATTTCTCTCCTTGTAAAACTTCAGGCATTTCTCTCCTTGTAAAACTTCAGGCATTTCTCACTGTATAGAAACTGTAGCCATCTCTCCTTCTGGAGCGTTGGTACTTCAATAAAATTCCCTGTCAGAACCTCAGACAACTTGATTAATTGCATTTAATTCATCAAGAGTGATACCGCACTTCAGAATTGTTCAACACTTGCATTGTTCATATCCAGTGAGAGATGCACTCCCCCATCCCCTATGCCAATCGAACTGTAATGCTGCATATGGATACATGAGTTGTAAACCACAGAAGTGCTTTAACTTTCATCCTGTATAGATGTCATTCAGACCATCCACAAAAATCTGTTCATATCAGTTCCGTTCATAACATTAACCATAGATGTCTCTCGAGCACGACGAACGCGCGGTTCAAGGTAAGTCACCTCTTGTGTACAAGTGCCGTGTTGGGCAATGGAAGTCAATATCTAATACACATATGTACTAAATTCGTAAGGTCTGATAGCTCCGTGTGCTAGTCATTCGAAAATATTTTCCCTCGAATTTTGGGAGCTATCCTAGTTGGTGGGACCCAAGCTCAAAACTACGTCTATATAGCTCCGAATTTTGTTGACAGTGTAAGCAAGTGATAAAGTGAATCGATTCAATTCCAGCATTTGTCTTCATTACCCTGTTATGCTTAAATTGGTTTCGACATGAATTCTTACTCGGTTTCGACATGAATGCTTACTCGGTTTCGTGCGTAGATTCGTTTGATGGATGGTTTCATGGATGCCCATCGAGCCTCCGTGGAGCATAATGAAATATATGCCGCGCTCTCATCAAAACTGAAAAGCTCACGTACCGACGGCTCGGTTCCGACTCTGGATCGTTTGACTTATTCGTCCCGCTCGATTACTGAGCAACGTCTTCAGTTTGTGAAACGTGAAGAGAATGTGATGTTAGAGGAGCTGAAGAAGAAGTGCATTATCCTGAACCCAGATTTCAAGAAGACGTCGGCAGTGCCTCAGAGTTTCCCTAAGTCTCCCCACTATGCCTTCAGTGGATCTCCCGGTGAGTACAAATTTAATGTTCAATTCTGTAGTGAAATGTTGTGATTGTTCCGTGTTTGTCGGCAGTTTGCGAAGCAAAGCCTTCGGCAAATGCTTTGTTTTCGACTCCACCGAAAGCCGCGGTAAACAACCAGAATGATGAGATGAATGGTGGTAATATGTGTGCTCCGAAAGTGGTGTTGTACGAGCCCAGCAAAGTGAAATTGACTTGGGAGCAAATGTACCCGGTCGGTGCTGGTCTGGTTAATCCAGGGCTGACATGTTACCTGAACTCTTCTCTTCAGGTAAGTTCCACATTTCTCACATTGCCGGATGAACCCTGTGTTCATTTTATTCTTCTCATACAGGTTCTCATGCATTGTCCACCATTTGTCAACTGGATTCTCTCTGATCCACATTGTTCTGCCAATGGTAATTTGAAAATTGTGACCATTGTGTTCCTGGTGTAACAGAGGATGTTTTTCGCAGATCGTCGCTGCAATTGTCTGTTGTGTGCTATGGCAAACACTGTTCGGCAGAGTCACGTGAATTCGGGCTCCCAGTTCCTTCCTCAGTTGATTCTTCAGCGATTACGCAGTAAGGACCATTTGGTAATTTTCGGGTAAACAGTTCCTGCGAATAATCATGAGAGGTTTTTGGACGTCGGGCATGTGTCTCCTCCATGTTCAACCTGACCACCTAAGCAAATTCGTCAAACCCGTTCCACTCATCAATAGACAATTTGAAACTTGACTATACACTAGCGCCTATGCAATTAAAATTTAAGTTACGGACACATAGTGCGTATCTGAAAATAATTTGAATATCATTATTTCTCCTGATGCCTTACAAAAATAAGAAATAATTTGTACTTATTTTGTATCATTCTAATACTGTATTCTAAAATATACGCAGTGATATCGAAGACTCTGAGGCATGACAAGCAAGAGGACGCGCATGAATTTATGAGAAGCCTGTTATCAACTTTGCAATTAACTTACCTAAAATTCAGAGGAGCGTCTAAGTTGGACGTGCGGAGCCAAGAAACTACGCCGATAGATCAGATTTTCGGAGGCTACATCAGGTCACAAGGTACTGTGGAGAAATTATACTTTGATGCTGAGCTGAGAGCAGACATGATCGTAATGTATTCCGCTGATCTATTCCAGTGATCTGTCAGAAGTGTAACCGAAAATCCAACACTTTCGATCACTTTCAAGACCTGATCTTGGACTTGAGGGGTTCAAATACGCTGGACGAAGCTCTCGCGTCGTATTTCAAGAAGGAAACGCTGTTCTCTAGCTCGGGATACAAGTGTGTGAGATGCCGGACAGTTGTGCAAGCATCGAAGAAATTTTCTATTGAGAAGCCTCCGAATGTGCTCATCATCCAATTGAAAAGGTGCGATGCTGTAATTTTTTTTTCGTGATTGTTTTTAACTGTGTTCTGATTTTCAGATTTGAAAGTGTGTTTCGCAAGCTCAGTCGGGTGATTTCGTTTGGAAGATTTTTGGATTTGAAACCGTATTCCAGTTGGGTTGATGATAGTCATTCCGTGGAAACCCTAGGCAATTCAATGAAATATGCATTGAATGGGATCGTTGTTCACAACGGCCACTCTTTGTCCTGTGGGCATTATTACGCCGTTGCGAAGGCTAGTGATGGGATTTTCTACAACTTCAATGACAGCTCTGTGAGTGAGATTCCATGCCGATCGTTACTATCGGATAAATTCCTTGATGAAGCTCAAGTTTTCGACCACCCTACTCAAGACGGATTGCTAAACCGTTCAACTTCATTTAATTTGCAGTTTTGGTTCCGAAATAGAGCACTTCAGAGAAGTGGACGAAGGAAGGGCTTTTTTTTCATTCAACAAGACAGAAGTTTCAGCATGATGAAAAAAATGTAAAAATAAAGCAATTTATCAATGTTAGAAGTAGTCAGAACTTTTGAAATCAAGAATTGTCGTATATTTTTTCTCCCGAGCTACTCCGCTGATTATTTGACCCATTCTCATCACACTAAGCATTTCGATCAAGTTTACGCGGGATCCAGGAATCTGGATATTGTTTATTCACCAGATCTGGCCGTCCATTCCAGTCGAATATCATTGGAATTGACGTCCCAAGATGCACAGTCTTTTACGTTTTAAATTGAAGGCCTTCTTGGAAATTTAACGTCGTGATATTTCCCAAGGTGCATCGAACTTCGTTCGAGTACATGCGAAATTGTGCGGCCTACCTACTTTTCTACATTCGAACGGACTCTGTGCCCTTCAGCCTGCCGAACATGGTGAAACGTGAGTACAGTTAACCTACTATGATCTTCACTGGATCCGAAGTCGTTCCCTTCTCGATATCCAGTAAATGCATTTTTGAATCTTTGTTCGATCATGGCATCGTGATAGAGTAAGATATGTAATATTTTTAGTTTGTTTTGCTTGGTCAGTTTGATTCTTACGACGTGAGAACATTTCAAGTTCGAATTTCTTTTCGTGTCGATGTTTGACTATGTTACTTTCTTTGGTGTTTTATGGGAATCTTCTGAACTACGTTATGTATTGTCAGATCCTAGCTTGAAGTTAGGTAAACTTCGGGGTTTTTCGTATTGCGTATACGTGCGGCAGATATTTTAAATTTCGGAAAGCGAGGCTGATCTGAGAAGTAAGCCAGATTTTCATATTGAAGTCGATAATTATATTCGGAATCTAAAACGTTGATTCGTTATTGTGAAATGTTTCGATTTTTACAGAGACCTTCCAGCCTCAGATTTGCGGTCCAAGTGCCTCCCCGTCCTCTAGCGCTCCGTCTAATTACCACGGGTCTCCGTCGATTCGCAATTCACCCAGCACTTCTATTGTTAAAACTGTTTACCCGAAGCCGATTGGGCCAAATTTGCCGGAGGGCTTCAAAGTGCGTAGCGACGCATCCGTTAATTTGCTTGGACTTGGTAAAAAATCCAATGAATCTTCGAGACTGAGCGCCGGCGAAAGTCCGGCTGTCAAAACCGCTATTGTTCCTTATGACGATGACGAAGAGGAAGATGATCCGGCTGACAAAAATGAGTTGTGTCCCCCAAAAGCAGCTGCGAACGTTGCTCCTGCAACGCCGACGCCTGCTTTGGATGTTCGCGAATCTTCACCGAAGACTCCTGTTGTTCTGACACCGAAGACTCCTGTTGTTCTGACACCGAAAACTCCAATTGTTGCCGCCACGATTGGGATGAGTGTGATTCTCTCTACTCATAAAGCACCGTGGAGTGTGGATGATGACACTCAGCAGACGAACCGATCCGATACTAGTTTGGACAGTGTTGCTTCGACAAGTGGCAAATGGAAAGTTGTGGGTCCTTTCCCTGCTGCTCATCCCAAATCTGATTACTCCGAGAAATGTCAGAAAAGAAAGACTGAAAACTCGAAGGACGTATTCTTGTCATCATCCAAAAAGGCGAAACACAAGGATGAGCCACAGACTGATGAGGACGCCTTGCAGTCGCCCAAGAAAAAACCGCAAGGTTTTGAGTCGGAATCCCTAGCTGAGAGGAAAGTTGAGAAAGACCAGTCCCGGGGGAAGAGTGAATGCAGTCAACTCTTCAAGAAAAGCACGAAAGATTCCGAGTCGCCGAAAATTGATAGCGTACTGTTGAAGAAATCGAAAAATCACGAAGACGCTGATCAAGTTGCGTGCGGTGGTGCTGAAAATTCCTCTCTTCATGGTTTCGGACAACAAGGTTCGTTCAGTAGGATCTCTTTGATGCCCAATCTTGCTACCGGGATGTCATTCAGGTGTAACCCGAATCGCTCCTCCGTCTAAAAATAAAGAAACCTAATGTAATTTATTTTGGTGTTGAAGAACAATTTATTGCTGTTGTCACGTAAAATGACGTAGAAAACCTCAGAAGCGTGAACATCAGAATTGGATTCATTTCCCGTTCTTCTCGTACATGTATATAGTGTATTATAAGAATCAAACCGTGCTTAAATTTTTGTGTGTGTGGCAAAACGCTTTGAGTCACTGTTGGAACAAAATCCCCGACCTCTTTGGTTCTCGCTATTTCGAAGTATCGTTGAATTTACGCCTGAAAACTTCGTTTCATCTTCCAGTGCTTTCGTGGAATGGTGGACCAAATAGTTTGGATAACGAATTGGCCAGGGAAAGGTTCAGGACGGAAGAACGTCGACAAGCAGATCGAGAATGGGATGACGAATTTGACCGTGGAAAAGTATGTACACAAGAAGGGAAAATGGCTTATCAGTAGATTATGCTAGTTTTCGTTTGCGCTTGGGATTGGACATTGTTTATGTAAAAGATTCGTTTACTTGAGTTGTAAAACGCCATTCAACTACGCTTTTCCGTCGAAACCGTATTCATTCGAGAGTGCGTCGCTTTCAATTACAAGATACCACGTGACCTGAAATCAAAGACACACTGTTACTAGCTTTTCAATTTGACAGAAGATCGATTCATTTCTTGTGCAACGTAATTTAATAACTGAGCCAATTACGGAATGAAAATACCTGTATCTCCTCCAATTCAATGGATCGCCATGACGAACCAGATGCAATGACTTACTTTTCTTTTCAAATACAGTATATTTCGATTACTATTTTTCTTTATTACTACGACAACGGGTTGATCACGAATTTTCGATGTTCTACTGTGAATCTTCTATTTTCAATTCGTGTTAAAATCATGTTGTACAGTATCCTAAATGCGGGAAGAAGACATCAATGGTATTTCATTCGGTTGAATGCGTGCCTATTTTTGGCCGTTTCTGGAAGGAAAGTTTTGCTGACGAGTCTTGAACTTTAAAAAATATAGGGCACAACTTGACCTTCCTCATCATAATCAGGAAAGGAAACTCGTTTAATATTTGCGTGAAAACTGGTTATTCCTTGCGAAATTTCGGTTGCGCAGAATCAATTGACGTCTTGAATTTACGTATAATTTTATAGGAAAAGAAGAAGAAGAAGGCTTGGTCGGACTTCAAAGTTTATCGCAATGGCGGGAATGTGTTCGACGATTTTCAGCGCCAGAAACGTGAAAGAGGATCAGACCGATACAGCGGTTACTCCAAGTATACTCCTCACAAGCGGAAGCGAAGCCATGGTTGGGGGTATCGAGATGACTCTAGGAAAACGCGATGAGATCCGCGTTGTTATTTCAGTTCATTTTTTGGATATTTTGCGATGAAGAACTGCCGAAAAGACCCCCTTTTTTGTTCTCAATGTATCTACGGGTGTTTTGCGGGTTGCTTGTTGTGTGGCAAAAGGATAAGTGACCGGATGCCGACTCGTGCAGACTGGGTTGTCAAGTGCTGTAGGTCTTGCGTGGATCGGGTTTGAGCGGACATCGTGGTTTCGTTCATGATTCCTTCATACGCAAAATGCACTGCTATGCGTTTTTTTTCCATCTTTTTCTGGGGATATAATCGGATTATTTCATCTGTCTTCTATCCAGAAATGCAAGCTGGCAAACAAAAAAAACCTTCGTTTGAGTGAAGATTGCCTATTCATTGATGCGTTGTACCCATTCTAGTTTCAAGTGAACTTACCGGAGCTGTTCGTTGGTTCTCGAGAAATGATGCTTGAAAGCTGTGAATTGAAGAATTCAGCTGTTCTAGGGTCGGATCGTCGGAATCAACCCACCCAAGTTCTTGGGAAGTGAGCGTATGAGAAACGTGATATGAGATTCGCCTTATCAGTTCGAGATAGTTAACGGTTAATACGATAGGTGTTTCTCAAAGCCAAAGGATTTCAAGTGTGACCGAAGTGAACGTTCTTTAAAAAAAAATTTCTGAAGAAAGGGTGAAATTCCTTATCATGAATCCACATAATTGAACTTAAAAACGGGAAACTAAATGATGGTAGGTTGTGTTCCATTGTCTTGAAACATACCCAATAATTATGATGAGCAATACCTGACTTTTTTACAGTTTCAGCAATTAAACTTCTAAAGTACGCAAAATCATGTCGGACACGAATGTTGGAGGATGATTTTGTGCTAGGAAGTGGACCCCTTTCTCGCCCCCGTATAAAAGCAGTTGAGAATGTAATCATCATGACCGCCATTCGGTAAGCATTGCCCTGCAAGTTAGTCATATGTACGTCATGGAATATGCTGGATATTAGATACTGCAAAAAAGCTACATATGGGACATTCCGCGTCCCGAATTGCGTTCATGTTAGCTGAGAACAACTTGAGATGGTAATATCAATTTCAGTGGTTGCAATTCTATCAAATATGTAGTTGCTATTCTATGAAGTGCCAGAACAGGATTGAAACTGTTGAACAGAAATACTGAACTGTTCAATTCTACCTAACAATGTGGTGTGAGCCAGATGCTGGTCTGGTTCAGTATTTGAATCTCCCAGATGTTATGATTATTATCCGTAATCCATACCTGTACTGTACTGTGCTAGGAACAATGCCGATCCATTCAGTGAACCCACCGCGAATCGGTCATGACGACTGACTTAGCTCGCTCGAATCTGCTCCTCTGATGCGAGGGTCTAAATTTGCCCGGACGATTACGGAAGTCGAAATAAAAATTTTCGAATTAGAAGGTGTTGGAATTTTTCGTGGAAAAATGTATGCTTGTAACAGTGCCGAGCTGTTTCTATTCAGCATTGGATAACTTTCAATTTTGGGTCAATTACTATGTTTAATCGATTTTTAGTGATCATAATGAAGACGAAGAACGTCATGTTTTCTTTGAATACGGTGGCTTTCTCGCTGCTATATTGGAGTATTGCATTAACACATGTAACTAGAACCGTCTGGCGCGTTTGCTGTTGTATGGAGCGATCTTCTTCCTCTTTCAGTGGCGCGATGTCTTTCCTGACTAGAAAGGTGGTATCTCGATAAAAATTCGAGGTGCTTTGCGTTGACGTGGTGGTATGCATTCCGGATGCTCGTGGTAACGTCCCTGAATATTTAGAAACGTGAACATTGTGTGGCGCTGCTCAAGACACTTCCAGTACCGCTGATTTTCCGTAACGATTCGTCACTATGGCGAGAGATTACGATCATCTCTTCAAGTTACTCATCATCGGAGATAGTGGTACGTCCGTACGTCTTGCAAATCGTGACGATAAAAAAGTGAATACGTATAATTTTGCAGGAGTTGGGAAGAGCTCACTTTTGCTTCGCTTTGCCGATAATACCTTTCACGGAAACTACATTTCCACCATCGGAGTTGATTTCAAAATACGTACTGTCGAAGTCGACGGCGAGAAGATCAAACTGCAGATCTGGGATACTGCTGGACAAGAGCGTTTCCGAACGATTACGTCGACGTAAGTTTACCATGTAATTTGCTGAAATAATGATTCATCGAGTATTTCCCACTCGTAGATATTATCGAGGAACACACGGTGTAATAGTTGTGTACGACGTGACGAGTGGAGAAACATTTGCTAATGTGAAACGATGGCTGCATGAAATAGACACAAATTGTGAATTCGTGAATCGAATATTAGGTACGTTTTCGCAATTGAACGCTTGCGGACTTCTGATATTATTGCAAGAACGGTTCGTGTTGCAGTTGGTAACAAAAACGATGATCCTACGCGGAAAGTGGTGTTGAAGGAAGACGCGAGAAGGTTTGCTGATCAAATGGGCATTCAGCTGTTTGAAACGTCCGCCAAGGATAACATCAATGTGGAGGAGGTCAGTTCGTGCTCTGTTTTCTTCGCTAAGGCCGAATGAACTGATAACGAAGAATAAGTTTTGAACCCTCTGATCCTCCCGCAGATGTTCAACGCGATTACCCGACAAGTGTTGCGCATGAAAAAGGAAGAGTCAGAAAAAACAGTGCAAAGCAACGAAACGGTGAACCTTCGCCGCGGTGGCAAGCATTCGGCATTGAAAAAAGGGAAATGCTGCTAACGAATTATTTTTCGTTCGCTTCCGTCATGCTCTTCTGTCTCCGCAATGTGATTTTTTAAACCCCTTCTGTTCGTAAGCCGTAGAAAACGCTTTGTGGGTAATCGCTTTGTTGGGTGCTCCCATCAGTGTTTAAAGTTCTTTGCCTCGCCGGAAAATATTTATTGGATATCTCGCATGATATTAAAATAGCAAGCAACGAATGGAATACTTTTTTTGTACTTGTCTGAGAAATATCATTCTGTTGGTTGAGTCCCACGTACTGGTTTTCGAGGACTTCTTCGATGCCGAAGAATGTGAGAGTTCGTATTTCGCGTATGTTAGGCACATCGTACAAAGTAACTGATGTAAAACACTGATGGGAGTGTAAGAGTGGTGAATTTCTGTCAGACCAAGCTTTCTGATCTGCGTCTCGCCAATGAAGGCGGTTGATGGCATTCCGATACGACCCGGGGAAGAACATGATCGGTCTAGTCAAGTAATTTCTTGTCCCTTCTGTAGGATATCGCGTTCGTGTTTTTGGGAATGTTAGACTTGATAGCTGAGGTCGAAAACCGTCTTCAATGAACTATAAAAACGTGAATCGGAGTAGTTTCGAGTTCATCATGGGTTGAATTTTCGACGAATCTTCCGCTCGTCGCGGTGGTTTGGACCAATACGGAAGTAGTTCCTTTTACTTGACTTCTTCCGGAACGAGAAGACACTTCCTCGTTTATACCCATGAATGCGCGGTTGTTCACACTTGAGCACTTGACAGGTAGAAGGGATTTAGTTAGTTTTCCGGGTAATCGGAAAATTTTCTTTCCTGATGGTTGCAGCGCTTTCTTACACGCAAGAAATCGAGTCTGATTCCCGAAAATAGGAATACGACAAGGGATTGCATGGTCGTATTTTTTAAAATCGGATGGAATGAGAAGCATGGGCGTGTGTAGTAAGCAATTTTTATTTTGCACTCCTTTCGTATGAAGTGAAATACTCGAAGGAGGAAGGAAGGAAGAAACGCACCGAAAAATTGGACGGGTTCGTTTAGGCTGGGGTGTCCTAAAGGTATGGCGAGTTTGATTTGATTGGATCGTTCGTCCGCTTTGAATTCTTGCGTCACTCATGTGAGTAGTTGTGGATTTTTATTTTTTGGACTCTGCGAACAGTAGTTTGAACTCTTCGAGTGTATACTCCCATTTTATGTTGTGAAGTCATTTGATTTAAATTACTGTCCGACATTAATCCTAGCTTACTTAACTCGATCGGATTCAAGTGCTAATTACTAGAATAATATATCATTTTCAACATAATTGAAATACAGTATGTTTTTGAATAGTCAGCGGATTCTACGCTCCAGATCAGCTAGCTTCTGCTTCGCGCTGCGATTAGTATGAAACTGGACTAGGATGGAGGCTTCAACTGTACCCAGGAAACGTAGAATGACCAAAATATTACTTTTCGGTGAATATTTTTTAATCATTATTTTTATCTAGTTAGGTGGATTTATATTCTGCTGGTAGGTGTCGCTAGCGGTCAAAAATCATTTGAATTTTACGATGTCGTCTGAAATTTTATTTTTCAATGTTTTTTTCGTGGTTGCGTAAGAGTTTTTTTTTTTTTTTTTTGCCCACGAGGTATGCTTGGGTTCCTGATGTAAATTTTATTAATGATGAAGACCGAATTTTGAAATTGCGTGTCTTCCCATAATCCCGTTTGAACCTAATTATCGTATTCACCATATGGATTGGAGTCTAAATGTTTTTCACCCGAAATCTTGAGCATCGAAAAGACTGAACTTATAACTGGTCAACATCGCTGCATACCCTTTGGGTCATTGTTCTAGTTTTCAAGCCAGAGAAGAAGTTCTGGCGAGTGTTGCCAATCCCGACCTTTTTGAAGCCTCCTTCATTCAAGATGGTGATGGTTTCATTTTTGCGTTACATGTTCGCGTTTCCTGCGATTAGTTTTGAATTTTCGCTTGTATTATTGATACGCTCATTCAGCTCCGATGAGGCAGTAATTCATATAGAACGTGCGAGAGGAGATCTGATTGCTTCCTAGAACAACGCGAATGTGTCTCAAAGCTTCCTCACCGAAAAGTATGTTTAGTTTCTGACTGCATGTTGTCTGATTGTGCATTTGCGATGTTGTTGGCTGTGGACGCCGAAACGAAAAGAAGTTGAATGGAGATAAATCTATGTTCGGCGAGTTTTTCAAAGCATCACTGACGTTCCTGCGGTAAAATATTAGCGAAACAAAAAATCGTATTGCTTTGTGTGTCCTAAAGCTTAACGCTTGGTATTTTTTCAAGCGACTGAATCCGCGCTTGCCCGAGGCAATATTTTTCACACTGCGCGAAATATTGTGAAAATAATGTTATTGCTTCTGTGTTTATCGATAAAATGTAATTTTTCGGGATTGATTTGATAGCACGAAATCGTCAGTCTTCGCTTAGCCAGCATGAGGTGCGTGGGTTATTGATTGAGCGCTCAGGACTTCGCTTTTGTGCAGCTAGACGTAGAGAGTAACTTGAGGAAACATTTTGCAGAGGCCTGACTTCAACCCTTTGGTGCGTAATACGACCTTATTTCTTCCTCCTGTTTGACCGCTGTGCAGTTATTTATTGTTTTTAAAATTCGAATAATCTGTAAGCAATCCTCTCTACGAAACGAGGAAGCTTATGTGTCTGAGCACCTACTGTATTTGATATATTTCTTGGTGATCTGATTTTTAAATTATTCATTCAGTTGTTCCACAGACGCGTTCATTTCTACCAACCGAAATTATTGGTTTACCCGGAAAACATCGTTTGACTGATTGAACCAAAGTTAATACCGGTACGGTACTGTGCCGGGGTTTCGTCAATACACAAACTCTGTTTTATGATTAATGAAAAAGGTGGGATAGCCCTCGTTTATTTTTTATATATATATGCGTGGGAAAGAAATGCGGGATTGTTCTCGGATTATTTTGTCACCAGTCCGCTCTCTATCGCGGAGATCAACTTTCCGCTCGCGTCTCGCGCTTGATTTTCCGTTGCGCTGAATGGAAGATATTGGGGATAAAGAAATGTTGGATACGAATCAGACGAGGGCTGGGTGGGTTGAAATAAATTTTTTTGGATACTGAACTGGATCAATATTATCTATTCGTGTGTATTGGGCTTCTTCTATTGCTGTTTTGTCTTTCTAGTGGCTTGACATTTATTTTCGTGAAGCTTTTGTTCATTCAAAACAACGTACAGTACAGTTCTTCTGAAGACTGCTGCGATTGAGGTACTTTTAAAATTTGATTTCGTTCTAGAATTCGGTAATTCCGTATGACCGGATTCTTATTGCTCTGAATGAAATAGTTGGGTGATGGAGTCAGTGGTATTCAGTGGCACTTTGCAGCAGCAACTTTTTTTTTCTGACTGTCTTGAGAATCTCAATTGAAGCCTGCCGTTTTGTTGGGAATTTTGAAGCCTTTGCATGAATTCACGATTTCGTTGGTACACGTTGCTAATGATTTTATCCACAGACTTGAAAGCTTTTTTCGATTGATCGAAATCATGAGTGTGGCTTCGCGTTCTTCCTTTGGCCTTGGCTGCCACCTATCCCGTTTCGCCTGTCGCTCCACTCGAGGTGAGTTTTTCTTTTATTTTTCAATTGGGATGAAGTACTGTACTTCATTTTGTGCCTATTGCGTTACAATATACGAAGGATCGATTTCCGTAAACATTCGTTCGAGGGGCTTCTCAAAAGTAATGGAAATTTTCGGTGTAAGCTGATTTAACCGCGTGTACTTTTCTGTAACTTATTGCGGATCGGAGAAATTACCCAGTTTAATCCGGAGGAAAATGAGACAAAATTATTTTGTGATCACCGTATCTTTTCCGCTGAGAAGATTTCTGCAGGAAAACAACTTGTCCAAGGATGCAGCCAAAAAATTTTGCGAATTTGCATCAACTTCATTCTGGATTCTCCGCATGAGAGGTCCTCCACATCATTTCTCCACATTTTAATTTTTATTATCGATTCGTGCTTGTACCTTATTTTTCAAGAATCAGCATAAAATTGATGAGAATTTTCCACAAAGGTTTTTCCGCGTGCTATTAACATTTGTTGGTACCTCTTAAGATTTTCGACAAACCTCTTCTGTGAATGTTTCGTTTTCATGATTGAAATTGAACTGAGATCAAATCTTCAGTTCCGTGTACCAGTTTTTCGCTGTTTGCGTTTTTATGCTTCAGTTGCTTATATTCTGCCTAGTATTGAATAACAGAAAGCAATTTCAGAGATCATGAGTTTTCTCATCTTCGTAGTTGATGTCTTCTCATTTATCGTGAGTGCAGCATTTTTGTGAACTCTATTAACCCATTCGATAAGTTTGTATCGCTGCATTTATTTTAGGTTTCGGAGGTTTTCCGATGTTGACCACCAGTCGTTCGGTTTCTTACCTGGGAGAGTTGCCTGAAGAACACCGAATGTTGCAGAAAACTTGTCGAGATTTTGCGGAAGGAGAGCTGAAGCCGATCGCGGCAGAGCTGGATAAATTGCACAAATTCCCTGCCGAACAGGTGTGCAATTCTTGCTTCAATTATTATTGTTTCTCTCTATGTCCTTGACTGTAATCACTGATGGGTGATGTTTAAGTAATATTGAGTTAGTTTGATGGATGGTTAGCATTTTTATTCACGCGTGAAAACTAACATGTCCGACCATCCAAGTTAAGGCACCGATGTTGAAAGACGGTGTGAATGAAAAAATATAGTCTAATCACATGAATCCAACTTCAAGGGACCAGCAGAAAAATTCGAGTTTAGGCAACAGACATGTGCGAAAAGAAGAATTAGAGTACAGGAAATTGTAATCTGTGATTTTCTGGGCCTTAAAGTGCTTCTTAAATGAGTTGGCAAGATGCTGAAATTGGTGGCAAGAATTCATCTGCCCAATTAGTCTTCAACTTCTTTTCAAAACGCGTCAAGTGACATGCATATTGCGTTCCTCTTTCCTGTGTCAATGGAATACAATAATAGCCAAAAAAGTCACCAGAAAATTCGAGTTATGAAGGTTTGACGGATAAACCTTTGAGTTGACGAGGTTTTTAATGCTTTTTTTCTAAAGAATTCGGGCAGGGATTTCAAAAAAATTTTACATGGCTGAGCTGTTCGACTTGAGGAGGTTTCAGTGAAAGAGGTTCAAGTGTAATATGCTCCTGTTTTAATTGTAGCCAGAAATCACCGACTGAAAAAATGCGAGGGTTTTTACTCATTTACATACCTATAACCCTGAATTTGATTATCCTGCCTTTTGCATACAGGTGAAGAAGATGGGTGAAATGGGTTTGTTCTCAATAGAAGTGCCTGCGGAGAAAGGTGGAACGGGGTTGGATGCACTTGCCTATGCGATTGCCATGGAAGAGATCAGCAGGTTCGCTAAATTTTTTTCTCTCTTCTTTTTTATGATTCGGAAAAGTTTTTTTTTTTTCAGAGTGTGATGAAGAGATCGTAATATTTGATGCGAGGAAACAATGGTAGTCTGAGAAAGTTTATTACCCGCTACTCCAGTGTGTATCAAGTATCAATTAACGTTGTTTTTATATTTTGCCGTTTTCATTTTCAAGTGACAAATGAGGTGTGAGACTCTTGCCTCATGCTGTAATTTTTCTTCAAGCAAAATACTGCAAGCTTTTGTCAAAATCGAAAGCGACCTAAAGCACGCTTAGAACGTTTTCTTCGAGATAAAAAAAGAGCAATAGTATAGAGCCAGCAATTTTAAGCAATTTTCATTTTTTACCAGTGCTTTAAACAGAAATCTTTTTTTTTCTTTCTTCGAACAGCCGAAGCTACCATATAGTAGAATGATGGAAATAAAGCGCATGAAATAGCTATACTTTATTAATTTATAGTACAGTGCTTGAATCGAAGCCTCCTTCAGCCGAGATCTCTTTTTTCAGTGCTCATAATCGCGGATTATAGTTCAACATCACATTTGCGAAAATAGACCGAACGGTTTGTTCTGAAGTGTGGTTGAGACTACTGAACGCGTGAGTGAAAAGAACGATGTACTTTGCTGCGTCAGAATTAATTTTCTCCTCAAATTGTGACCATTTAGATTTAACGAAAATTTCTGCGCTGGATACCGTACCAATATTTTTTACGTTTTCTGATCGAATGAGCGATTTTTCCCGATGAATCTGTAAATAACAGCAAGCTGAAGTTTATGTAGAGTTTGTCTGCACGCAAACGGTTGTCGCTTTCAATTTTGGCTTAACATTTTTCGACGACGTCTGCAGAGGTTGTGCGTCTGCCGGTGTGGTGATGTCTGCGCACAATTCCTTGTATCTCGCCCCGATATGCAAGTTCGGCTCAGAGGAACAATGGGAGAGGTACGGACTTCCATTTCTGGATGCAAACAAAATCGGGTGTTTCGCACTGTCAGAACCTGGCAATGGTAGCGACGCCGGAGCCGCATCAACGGTTGCCTCATCTGTTGCATCCGGTTATAAGTTGAACGGATCCTTCCGCACCTAGTGCTTATCAACCCTTCGGTCACGGCCTCAGCACAAGCGATGCTGACTGTTCAGCTTCTTCGTGTTCCCGTAGAGCCGCAAGAACAAACTGTACGGCTGAGGACCACTCACGGACCTTCGTTGAAGAAAAATGAGAAACGAGGAGCGCGATTCTGGGGCGATATCCGCAGGGAAATTTTCTTCTTGGTATATTTGTGCTGAAATGTTTAGTTTATGTCTTCGTGGAGAATGTGACTGTTGGACGAAGTTATTTCCAAGCGTGAGATGATCCAAAATAAATTCAGCCGTCTTGGACCTTCTTGAAAAAATTTTGATAACTGTGGTAAATTTTCCGAAAGCTCCGCAAGAAACGCTATCACTGTTTTGCCAGACGTCTGAAATGACCAATGTGTTTTTGTTTTTCGGGTAGGTTTCTTGCACTAAATTTTCTCGAGATTTCATCTTACGAGAATCTTTTTTAAAATTTGGAAACTCATGTGCGAACTATTATCAAAAGCATTGAATCCCGTTCTTCGAACGTTCTGAACTTCGTGATAACTACGTTGGATGTTTCGAAAGCTCTACAGTACTGGAACCTCTATAACTGGTGTACGAAAGAACTTCGAAATCGAAGGCCCATTATTTCAAATTTTCCTCCCAAAAATTCAGTTCTTGTGATTAATATAAACTCCACAATCCAAAGAAGTCAAAAATTCGAATACAGTATTTTAAATGTTTTTGGTAACGAGCGTACGAACATAGAGACCGTCTGCCCTTGCTTTGACTGTAAAGCAGTAAAACTCTGGCTCTTGTAGGTGGTTCAACTAAATTAGGCCATAAATCTTCGAACAGTTGAATGCAATCAAAGATTGTGGTGTATGACTTTTACCTGCTTTTTACAAAGAAATACAGGACCTTACACGTGACGTCTTATTGTGATCTGAATTCGGAAACAAATTGAACTGATTTGAAGTGTTCCTTCAGGGAAAACTTTTCCTTACACAACGAACAATCCGGATGACGGAAGTTGTTGCAGGAACAGATTTGGTTTTTTGGCGCAAGGCACCACTGCATTGTGAGAAGTACTTATTCTGATGAGTTTCGTATGTCAACATCAACGTTGAAAGCCAGATGTCTTTGTTTCAGAAAATTGACCAACGTAGCGATAATTTGTATGTCTCTTGTAAGTGGCTTTGAAATGTTCGAAAACTGTATATAATACATAAATTTCTTTATCATAAAAATTATTATCTCCGTTTGGAACTTACCTTTGAATTGTTTTTTGAGGAGTTTAAATTTAAAGCTGTGTGGGAATCGCTTGGAAGCCGTTCATCTGTTCGAGGGCTCAAATTCTCAGACCGTTCAGTCCTGCAGTTTGGTTGATCTCTGTGATTCCTTTCCAGGCTTGTCTATTGGCAAAAAGGAAGACAAACTGGGCATCCGTGCATCGAGCACTGCGACGTTGACATTTGAAGACGCCGCTGTACCCTCTGCCAACTTACTCGGAGAACCCGGCATGGGTTTCAAAATCGCCATGACCACGCTGGACGGAGGCAGAATTGGTGTCGCTGGACAAGCCCTGGGCATTGGTCAAGCTTCAATCGACTGTGCTGTTGACTACGCATCGAAACGCGAGGCTTTCGGTTCGCCGATCATGAAAATGCAGGCTATTCAGAGCAAGTTGGCTGACATGGAGTTGCGAGTGCACTCTGCCCGATTGCTCACTTATCAGGCTGCCATGTTGAAGACGCAGAATAAGCCCTTCACGAAAGTTAGTCGTTCTTTAGTGATGCATTCTTTGTTTCTTGAAAAATAGAATTAGGAGTCTTGGATTCTTAAATACTTTAGATGATCTTTTGTTTAAATCGAATGCAGTATGGACAAACGATGTTCGCTAAAATGTATCACGGTCTGAAGACTTCCCTGCTTTTGGAAATCTCGCTTTTCTCAAGTTCCCTCTTGCACTGTAATACATAACTCAAAACAAGCTAATTATTCGGTTTTTTTTTTCAGAAATCTTTCATCATATACAAAGAGTATAGGAAGTCTTACGTGTGATCTTTGCTTTTTGGACTCAGTTTCATGTCAAAAGATTTGTTCAAGTGTGATTTCTTCTGTTTTTTTTTTTTTTGTATTTTGAGGCTGAGACAAGTATTCTGTGCAAGGTTTTGATCGATAGAAGAACAAATTGAATGTATTCCCATTGAAGTCTAGGGAAAAATGGGATCCAACATTCGAACGTTCAGACATAGGGACAAGGTCCAAGCACAAATTACGTGCGCATCTCTAATCCTAACTCCTTTTGTATGATACAGTATCTGGGAAACGATCGTTGTCTGTAAACGAAAATGCTCGTAGAATGAAGAAGTGCGACCAAAACTAAAAAGACACGCCTATTCTCCGTTAAAAAGCGAAGATCCGTACAGAAGACAAATCATCTCTGGCAAAAAGTCTTGGATTGGAAAGAAATTTTGAAAAATAATTTTCCTAGTTTTGAAGAAAATTCGAAGCATTGATCACAGGTATCAGAAAGATGGAACATTTTTGAAGAACGCCTGAAGCTCTTCCGTTTAAAGATAATCTCGTTCAGCAGTAACAATTTTCAACTTCGTTCTGCTGGAAAAGCATTTGGAAAAATACAGATCCACCCACGTTTCAAATGTGCTCATATTTTAATTTTATTCTCTTCGTGTACCTCATTCGCAGGAAGCTGCGATGGCAAAACTGGCTGCTTCAGAGGCTGCGACCTTCGCTGCTCATCAAGCCATTCAAATACTCGGTGGCATGGGTTACGTTACGGATATGCCAGCAGAGCGACACTACCGAGATGCGAGGATCACTGAAATTTACGAAGGAACTTCGGAAATTCAACGTCTCGTTATTGCTTCCAACCTGCTCAAGGAGCACGGGGTTGTATGAGGAGCTCAGCGAAGAATTCCGAGCTTGTAGGGGGATTTTCTGGTAGAAGACGCACTTCTTTTGCCGGCGACCGCATGTGACCGACATGTTGAACTTAACCAAGAGGCGCACTGGCACACTCACCAAAAAATGACAATGATTCTTGGCAATCTCCGTTTATATTGTAACGCTAATCTGTGCCATTGTGAAGCATGTGGTTTTTTTCTTCTCCTCCTGAAGATCTGGTCATTGTAGATATCAACCGTACCTGTGCTTGAACATTCGCAATACAGTACTGTTTTGTGAATCGAATATTTTTGTACCTTGTCAAGGCAGAATCTCGATGCAATGAAACGCCGTTACCTGGAGATTTTATATCTTATACTGACTCAGTTTGAATTTACATGCGTCCTTTTTGTTGTATTTGTCTTATTTGATAGTACTTGCATTTCTTTAGTCCCATTTCGGAGACACCCGTGTGTGATTCGCGGAAAGAGACAATATGAATGTCTCTAAACATTCGTTGCTCTTTTTGGCGAGAAGTCTATCTCGAGGGGGACGACGAGACAGACATCGTAAGTTTTTTGTGCGTTTTTCTTCGTGAATAGATTTTTTTTTTTTTTCAAGTGGGATTTTCAAAAATAATGAGCCATGCATCAGACCACGGTAGTTTCAATTCAAACTACGCAATTGTATTGCATATTGATTCAGTGATCTTGAGCTTACTCGCACTTTTTTTTCTCGATGCATCACTTCTATTCTCTTTTTTTTAAGAAGAAAATTGAAGGTTTGCATTCTACAGCTTCGAAAGGAAAAGGAAATCCTAGCCAGTGTGCAGTATTTGGAACCTTCTTACATATCCTGAAGTTGATTTTCATGAGATAAATGTGAAGCTGTATCTTCATGAGGTATTCTGAAGTAGTTTTTTTCAGCTTGTATGTGGGATATTCTGTGAAATACCCTCAGTTCTCTCGTGTTTCATAATTATTTTTGACCATCAGCTCTCCCTTTGCTGAACAGCAGTCGTTCGGTTTCCTTCCTCGGAGAATTGCCGGAAGAACACCGAATGTTGCAAAAGACTTGTCGGGATTTCGCAGAAGGAGAATTGAAACCTATCGCTGCGGAATTGGATAAGCTCCACAAGTTTCCTGCTGAACAGGTAATATAAACATTTTCCGCACAAGAATCGGTAGATCTTGTCAGTCAAATTTTTTTCTCTTCGTAGGTCAAGAAGATGGGGCAGATGGGCTTGTTCAGTGTTGAAATACCGAGTGAGAAAGGTGGTGCAGGGCTGGATACCTTGGCCTACGCAATTGCTGTAGAGGAGATCAGTCGGTATGAATTGGATTTATACACGAAAATTGTTTCCTTCATTGCTCCGAAAACTTCGTTTTCACGCGCGAGAAAATTAGCGTGTTTAAATGGGCCATTGGTGTAGAATATATAATTAACTTCCATTAGGTGGAAACACCGAGTGCGTTTGATAGGGTGGCACGGATAGTCAAATGTTCTTCTCGAATAAGCTGAAACAATTATTTCCTATGGATTTAAAAAAATGGTTCAACGATGACTCAATGATGCCTAACTGAAATCCTCTCGAGTTCGAAGAATAGTGCTAAAGAAGGGGGAAATCAGAGTGAATTAAAGTGACTAAAACTGAAATTATACTGAAAGAAGTTTGTTATCCCTCATTGAAAAAATGTGGGTTCGTTGATCGAGAGCACGGATGATCAGAGTTTTACTGTAATTGATTTTGGGAAGGCCGACTATGAATCTTAAATTTGCTTTGCGACGTGATTTGCTTCGAAAAAATATTGATCTGTTTATTTACAATTGAACCAACTTCACAGCTTTCGCGTACCGAATCGGCTTTCAATCACCTTTGTTCCAGAGGATGCGCATCAACGGGCGTTATCATGTCGGTGAACAATTCTTTATATTTGGGACCCTTGTACAAATTCTGCACTGACGAACAATGGGAGCGTTACGGACTGCCGTTTCTGAATGGTGATAAAATCGGGTGCTTCGCGCTGTCAGAACCTGGCAATGGCAGCGACGCCGGAGCCGCATCAACGGTTGCCTCATCTGTTGCATCCGGTTACAAGTTGAACGGATCCAAGGCGTGGATCACGAATAGTTGGGAAGCCAGTGCCGGAGTCGTGTTCGCTACGACTGACAAGTCGAAGAAGCACAAGGGCATCTCGGCGTTCTTGTTTGACATGCCGACTCCTGGTGAGTGCCTGGCTCGTTGAAGAAAAATGAGCGACGAGGAGCGTGGTTTTGGGGCGATTTACGCAGGGAAACGTTCGTCTTGAGATATTTGTGCTGATGTGTTTAATTTTTGCCTTCGGACGAAGTGTTACTTTTGGACGAGGTTATTTCAAACCGTAAGATGCTCCAAAGCTAGCGAAATTCTGCCTTCTTGTAAGTTGGAACGTCATGGAAATTTGTGATAACTACGGGAAATTTTTCGAAAGTTCGACTAGAATCGTAATACAGTAACTGGTATTCGAGACGACTGAAAATAATTAGGTGTTTTTGGCTTTTGGCTACGGTTTTTTGCGAAAAAATTTCTGAAGTTGTCACCTATCGAGAATCATTTTCAAAATTTTGTGAATCATGTGTGAAGTGTTAATTGAGCGCTCGCTAACGCATCATTCTTTTTTTTCTGATTTCGATTTCAGTCTTGAGTCTAGGCTAATTTGATTTTGTTCATAAGTCACATGTAAACGAGAAATAAGTTGTCTACTTTGCCTTTACACTTCTCCCGAAATTATTGAAAACCGACTTGCGAAATTTTTTAACTCACGAAAGCCTTTTTCCAACAGAATAACTTCGAAAATTGCTGCTGTTGAACGAGGTTATCGTAAAAATACAAACGAACAAACTCTGAAGTGTTCTTCAAAAGTTTTTTTTTCGATACCTACTATGGCTCCTTTGAATTTTCCTGAAAATGTGGAAGATTCTTCTCCAATCTCTTTCCAATCCGAGGCTTTTGACGGAAATGGCTTTTTTTACGACTCTTCGTCTGCTAATGGTGAACAAGCGTGTCTTTAGTTTTGGTCGTATTTCTTCGTTCTCGTCATTCTACGATGTTATAATAGTTTTTTTATTGTACAGTATTTTCAACAGCTTTGGAGTCGAATACAGATATTTTTTTTTTTTACCAAGTGAATCATTTTAAAGTGTCTCTTTTGAAGGTGAAGTTGCTTTTGTATAATTCGAATAGTGCGCTTTAGGCGTGACGTTTTTTCGCTCGAGGACTCTCTGAGTTTTGGTCATCCCGAAAATTTTAATTTATCGGAAATCAATGGCTGTGCACAGGTTTATCTCTTGGCAAGAAAGAAGACAAGTTGGGAATCCGTGCTTCAAGCACAGCCACATTGACTTTCGAAGATGCCGTCGTTCCTGCGACGAATTTACTGGGAGAGCCCGGCATGGGATTTAAGATTGCGATGTCAACGCTGGACGGTGGCAGGATTGGAATCGCGGCACAAGCTCTGGGAATTGGCCAGGCTGCTATCGACTGTGCCGTGGACTACGCGTCGAAACGCGAGGCTTTTGGCTCGCCGATAATGAAAATGCAGGCCATTCAGAGCAAGTTGGCGGACATGGAGTTGCGAGTACATTCGGCGCGATTGCTGACTTACGAAGCCGCAGTATTGAAGACGAAGAAGAAACCATTTATCAAAGTTAGTAGCGAGATAATGATTTGGAAAGATTGATTTTTTGATTGCCCAGAATGTGTTTCTCTGCATTTAGTGGAGCGAAATCAGGCCCCGTTTTCAATTTTCCTCGTTGAGATTGTACTCAAGGGTTTCGGTGATCTGTTCCAAAATTAATTTCCCGATGATTTTAAAGTTTGAGAATGTTTTGCTCTGATGCAATCCGCTGTACTTTTACAGTAGTATAGTTATTGCAGTATTATTACATACTTCAGAATTTATCATTTCGTTCAAGTTTACAGAATTTATGTCTTTCGACTGTTGACGGTAGCTGCGAGGATCAGAGGGGTTTTGGAAGCTTTCGGGTTTTGCTGAACCCTTGAATCATTCTGCAGTTTTTTTCTTCACCTCTCCAGCACGATTTTGCCATCCGGAAGTGACCTTGTGACAAATACTGTTCTTGGTCAAGCTTTTTGGAATTAGTTGAACAGTCGTCAACGGTCTCAGGACAGCGCAGAAGGAGAAAAAATGTACTTGTCCAGAAAGAAAACATTTATTTTGGTTCTCATTTAGATTTTCAGCGTCTTCGTTTTTGAGTTCTTGCGACTTGAATTCGATTTTCCTATTACTGCAGAGTGCTTTGAAGCCTTTTCAGATGTAGGTTTATTTTAGTGTCTGTTGCAATCATCATTTGGCAGTTTTTTTCTTCACCTCTCCAGCACTAATTTGATAGTGAAAATATTTAAATGCGTGAGGTATCATTCAGAAAGAATTGAATCGAATTTTAAATTTATCCCTTGTTCAGGATTCTAGCCTAAGTTCGAGAACATATTTAAAAAAAAAATTGTATCGACATTCTTCTGGCTTATTTTGAATATTTTCCCTTCTCCAGGCTATTACTGAATTGCTAACATCGAGTGTTATCTTTCTTTGTCTCAGTTATTTCAGATGTGCTTTTCACCTATTATAGTTGAACCTCAGTACCTCCCTAAATCGAAACCTCCTTCGGTCGAATTTTTGCTAGACCCGTGAAGTTCGACTTGAAGAGGTTCGACTGTAATTCTATCTTCTCCATGTACCTCTTCTGCAGGAAGCAGCGATGGCAAAACTGGCAGCTTCAGAAGCTGCGACGTTCGCTGCTCATCAAGCCATTCAAATACTCGGTGGCATGGGTTACGTGACAGATATGCCAGCAGAGCGACACTACAGGGATGCAAGGATAACGGAGATTTACGAGGGAACTTCGGAAATTCAGCGTCTTGTCATTGCTAACAACCTGCTCAAGGAACATGGCGTTTTATAACGTTTCTTATCTCTGGGAATGAAACAGTTGACGTTTGCAGTACAGAAATACTTGATAATGGGGGAAAGGTGTGCCTTAAAGGCATTTTTATTTCTTTTTCTAAGGGTCTGTTGCGGGTGTCTTCATATGGTCAGGTGAAGAATTCCGGAAACTTTTTCTCGTGCTTTGGGTCCGTGTTATTTTGGTTTTTATCCGATCTCCCTTTTCCCGTCTTGGTATTCTTGTGATATGTCACATGTCTGGATAGGGTTTCAAAAAAGAACGGCGCTTTTTGGGTGAAGAACTTCGAATACCCGTGGTCACTTTAATGCATGGTTCGCGTCACCGTGCAATGTTGTGTTCAGCATTTTCAAATGAATACTGTATTGTGATTTCTCTGATTGATTCCGCATGAAGAGACGTCTTTGATTAAAACGACGTTTCGCGTTATTCGTTTTTTTAATGAGGGAAATTACATTTCCGTGGCAATTTCACTCGTTTTGGGTCTGCTGCGTTTTGTTCGACTGAATAATGCGCAAGTAAAAAAAATGAATAAATAAGTCTGGCTTATTGCTTTGTTGAAATTGCAGCAGTTGGGGTTCTGTGCGATTTTGATCTTCTGCTCAGCGGACTGGTGCTTTATTTCTGTAATTTCAAGTTGATGTAGGTGTATTTCTTGTGTTTTCGTGTGTCGTTGTTCTTTAAATCCGTTCGCCATCATGGATGATAAAAGATAATCGTAAAAAGGGATATTTTTTGCTTGTTTACCGTTTCGGCTTAGTCTGTCGTGATCTCTTCTGCGGCTGTTACCTCTAACGTGGAGGGAAACATTTGAGCGTGTTTTCGAACAGGCGCATGCTAAAACAGCGCATGTCCCCCAAAAAGTCCAGTAATTTTCCATTCATCATGTACCTTCTCAGCGTGAAGATGTCTTGTCCAGAAAAACATTTTAGTAGACCTCATGTGATCTACCGTACTTGGAAGAAAGAAAATAAAACTGCATCATTGACAATTGGAAAGGGTCAAGTTACGGGTTTGTGCGCGATAATGTTGGGCATATTGAAATGTCTGATCATGGGAATGTCATTCTTTTATTGTCAGTGAATATTTTGTTTTATCTACTGTAATAATTTTTGAAGCGTGTATTCTGTGTTGGTTTCCCGAACAGAGTCATTGTGATGAAGTGAACGTGATGAGTTAGCTTTTGGTGGTGGCGGAGGCGTACCTCTTCACAAATTTCACCATGTTCGAATTTTTTCGGTGAGGACTTGAGTGTTGCAAACATGTGCGAAATTTGAAAGCAGTACATTGACTGATGTGATCACGTGTCTTAGGTTTGTTCTTCAAAAGGACGCGATCGTTCATTGGTGAAGCTGTGATTTTTTTGGAGGGATCGTCATGAGTGAAATGGTGGCGGACGACGGCTTGGAAATTCACGCCAGAATTTCCGACGCGTTTTCGGACAAGTGTGAGTGCTGGTCAGGGATGAAAAGCGTTTCACATTTGAACCTCGATGACTCCCTTAGTTGAATAACTCCTTATGTCGATTTTTTCGAAGTGCCTGTCTGAATTTCCGTGGGGAGCTTTTCAATCCATTGTCCCTAACTCGAAAGCTTTCCTCCCTAAACCTCCATGACTCGAATTTTCTGGAGGCCTTTTGGATATTACTGTATTTCATGACGGAGGGAAGATAAAAGAAATGAAAAAGTAACATTTTGAAAGGAAGTGAAGGAATATTTGGGCACATTCACCCTTGCCTCCAACTTCAGCAGCAACCTTGCCTCCAACTTCAGCTTATTACTTACTCAATAAGCAATTTAAGGCCCAGAAATCACCAATTACTATTTCCTGTAATTCTTGTTTGCCTAACTCGAAACCTACTCAACTCGAATCTAGTTGCTGGTCCCTTAGTTCGACTTGAAGAGGTTGGACTGTATTTTAATATTTCACGAAAATACCTGAATGCATCACTATAATCAATATATTTTTTTTTATTCAGCGACAATTCATCTTGCGGAATTTCCGAAAGAACTGAAATCACAGCCGATTGCTTTGGTAACTTTTCACGGCTTGAACGTGAGCCAAAATCCTGTGCACAACGTCATTTGGAACGCGTTTGCGCAGACCAACGACGCCGCTCCGGTCAACTGCGTGTTGCGGCCGTCCGAGTATCTCTACCCTGTTCCGAAACCCAAGGTTTGCTTTCACAAGTTTTCAATCTTTCTGCGTATTTTATGAAAACTTGTTGGATTATCTTTCTAAGATTTCTGGTAGCGAGAACACAGGCGTGCAGAATTTGCATTACAAAAACCCTTACAAATACAATTTTGCATTGCAACATTTTTAAGAATTAGCAGGTGATTTGCATAATGGAATCGTTCCACGCAATGAGTTTTTAGGCCAAAAACGCTAACATTTCATCAAATCTTAATTTAGGCTTCGGAATTTTTCGTTAAAGGAAGTAAGAAAATGATCAGTTTTGTTTTGTCTAAAATTTATGGAATTCAGGAATTTAAGAGCAAGAAGTTGTGAGGATTACTTCACTTTTAAATTCACTATTCCAGGTTGAAAAAGGCACAAATTTAATGATTTAAAGGGTTAACAATTATTATTGTACTGTATTTTGATGAGTGTCAAGAACGAATTAAAAAAATTTGAAATGTGATCTTAGGGGAAAACGAGTTTCGCATGACGAAATTCACCCAAGAATGGAATATTTCCTTAATGAGGTGATCATATTCGGGGGATAAAAAAAATGTTTTTCTTCGGGCGTAACTAAATGCATGTATCATATAATTATTTTACTAATATTCCGCGCTTATATGTGTTTATTTGAAGCAAAACTATGAAAGACTCGTTCCGCATGGCATCTGGAAGCGGAACTGGGTGAAGAAGCACTTGGAAGATATTCCTGCTGTGGCGGTGATTTTTTGTGATCTAGATTTCCGTGCCTCTAATTGGCCGGAAAGAAGAGACACGTGTGTGTCTATGGTGCATTGTCTCAAGTGAGTCTCAGTCGTTGAATTGAAAGAATTGAGCTGAGTATCGCATACCTATACTGTAAACACAAGTTCTGATATAGGTGAAGGGTATCCGTAAAATTAAGCTTACAAAATCCTATATGCACTTCATATTTACGGCGACCTAGATTCGCAGGTAAATGCCGTGCTTCTTTTTGACCCACGCAATCTTTTGTATTGAATTGAAGTGGACTTACATTGATCTGGAGAATCCTGGTTTTGGCATTTTTTCAGTTGGAGAAAGAAAGACTTGAAATCATAGTACAGGTGGGCTCTCTTTCTACGAAGAAAATCAAGGGACCAGAAAAAATTCATTGTGGAGAGAAATTCATTCTAGAGAAAAAGGAGAGAGAATCCTATGAGACCAGAAAAATTCGTTATAATTAGAAAAAATTGTTGTAGAAAAGATTTAGAGTCCACCTGTGTTTATTGGCAGTCATTCAGAATATCGTTTTCAGTTGGAAACTGAAGCATGAGTAGGTGAACTCTTCAGAAATTGAATGAATTGTAAATGCGCCCAAGATTATTAATTTTGAACTCGAAGGCAGCATTATTTTATTTTTTTGACGCTTAATACGTTATCGAGGGCTTCTTTTAGTCTGATGAAAATGGTAAAGTCCCTTTAATTCGTTCAATCATCTTTCGATTTCGCATGTTGCATAAACTTCGAAGCTTTTTGTGTGTCGGGTTAAATCTGCAGGATTAAATTCTGTTGTTTAATTTTTTGCAGGGTCGCATTAACGGGGAGGGAAACGCGGATAGCAGTTGTGCTCATCCAGCAAACAGCATCTATACCCGTGACTGGAGTGGGCAGTGAGGATGCGTTGACAACTGAGCGTGTGGCAACGCTGTGTTCCTTATGTAACGTGTCTCACAAGAGTCTCTTCGTTGTTCCTCAAGACAAAGATCACGTCAAGGAATATGCCGCGAGAATTCAAGCTGCTCTGTTTGAAATGTCGCAGGCGTACTATCAAGTTGCTGCGAGGAATGTCAAGGCCCACAGGTTCGAAAAAGTCACGCTTTGAATAGTCTGTAGCGTCGAATGCGTTTTGAAGCCGTGTTCACGCGTGTTTGGATCGAACCCTTTTTTGTTTTTGTCTGCAAAATTCTGCTTCAAACTCGGGTTGCATGACAAATTTGGAGATTCGGCTGAAATTCAGCTTTTTGTCGGAGGCAGTTTTCGTAATATGCAATTTTAAAATACGAAAATCACTTCTTGGTTCACCCTTTGAAACCTAGCGCGGAAAATGACAGTATGAGTGCTCAATTAAAAAAAAATTAGCTGCTTAAAATAGCAAATCAATTTAGTGAAAATCGTGCAATGGAGTCATCATGCACCTATATTTTTTATTCAAATACTGGACCTTTGGATTCACTTTTTCACAGGGATTCGTTGTCGGAAACCGTTCATCAAATATTGTTTATTCGTCATCCCTTCAAAATGGGATATTTTCACGAAATGAAGCGGGACATTACTGGGGCAACCAAGTGAGATTTATTTGATCATATTATTTTATTTCCTCATTCACGTCTAACGAAATTCATTCGTCAAACATGGTTTTGTTCGAGCTCATCATTTCTTGTGGAATCTTGACAGGTTGTACCAACAAGCATACGGAAATCTGTTGAAGCTGCGATTAGTGGATGCAAACTGCCATGAAATAAAGACTGTTGCTGGGTTTTTGAATTATAAATGCTGTCAACTGTTATTCAAGTCGAATTTGCCGAGGGATGCAATTTTACAGTTCAAGAAGCATGTTGAGATGTTCAGTCGGAAGGTTGGACCCCTGGCGATAGCTTTCCAACACCAAACATGGATGAGTCAACAGTAAGTTTCTGATTAATTTTTGACACTTTTTTAGTTGTTCGAGCCTGCTTTGAAACGTTTTACAGATTCCAATTGTTCGCTGAACTGTTCGAACAAGCTATTAGGAACGGGTTGCCGGCGGTTCAGACGCAGCACCCCGGGTTTTATTACCAGTCAGCTGCTCATCACGTTGCTGTAAGAAGAAAAGAAGCCAGAAAATTGTGTTCTGCTTTGCCAGTGGTGAGTTATTCTATAAATACGTTCAATAATAATTGATGAAAGGCCAAAAATATTTCGCCTTTAAAATGTTCAAAAATTTAACCTGCTCGCATGAATAAGCATGTCAAAAATGCGTTGAATTCCGAAAAACCTCGGTAAAAAATTGGGCAGATGGAGAAAATAATTCGAGCCAATTTTCCGAAGGCTTGTTCTTGCGATCGTCGAACGGTTTTTGAAAAGAGTCTTTGTATTCAGTTACTCGAGTTTGTATCCTGCTTTATTTTTTACAATCTGACGCCGCGATTCGGATAAATTTTAGCTGATGAAGAGGAATGAAGTTGATTTACAGTTGCCTTGAGATTAAGAAAATCTGGATTTCGTGCATTGATGAGGCGAATATTCGTGCTTGTATTCTTCTACTTGTTTCGTTCGTTAATATCGGAAGTTTTTCAGATCTGATACTTCATTTTACGGAATGATGATCGTGCTTTTTCCTCCTTAAAGGACGAGGAAACCGTAGCTGGAATGAACTTATTGCTGGACCCAGAGGAAACTATGCCTTATTGGGGACAACGACCGTGGAGAGCGGGAAGATCTTTACTTGATCCTGACCCGGCTACTGAAATTGCTGGTTTTAATGCGATGCAACACAGAGAAGCTACGGTTGGCGTGAAATATTCAGAGCAAATTATAGCTTTGCTCGCTGCCGCGATGACACAGTTCAAGAGTTATTTATCCTCCAGGTATGGTTTTTTTTTGGAGCAGTTTCGATTGATTGTTGTATTAGCTTTATTTCTTGTCAGCGTTCACAAGGCTCGAACAATTTTCCCCACATCTGTTCAAACACATTACGGGATACCAGAAGGGGGAAAATGAATGAATAAGAAATTCACAATATGGGTATTGAAAGAAATGCTGTACATTACAGTACAGCACCAGCAGATGCATTAGTTGCCATCTCTTTTTTTTATGACAAAAATCACAACACAAGGCAATTTGTGTGAGCACAAGGTGTTCAGCCTGTTCCCAGATAAATTATAAAGAATTGAATAATTTAGGGAGAAAATGTGAGAATTCTGTTTCGATTTAAACGATGTAAAGAAAAAAGGCCTTCGTTTTCGTTTCTAGAATGAAGCGTCATCTCATGGTGCAGACCGCGGAAGAATTTGCGGCTCTGTCGGACTGGCCCAAGTCCTTGGCAACTGTGAACCACGTGATCTGGGACTATCGAAGGGAAAAGTGGTGGAGCTTGGTGTCGCCGTTGCTCCGACGTGCCATTGCCTTCTCGTATCGAACAGCTTCACGAGCGGACTTCATTCGAGCCCTCATCGAATTCCTTGGACCCAAGTTCAGTACGGAACACAAGAAGCGACCGGACGTGGTGGACGAATTGCACAAGTGCCTGGGAGATGCGATGGATGGTCGTGGACCGAAGCTGAAGTTGTTCGATTGCGGCGGGCTGAACGAGGTTGAGGAGCGAGCAGTGGCCAATTCCTGGGTCGAGGTCATGGGGAAGGCTTGTTGGGACGCGCCGGTTGTCTTGGACATGACCCCGATTTCTGGGCTGTGGGAAGTTAGGAGTCATTTTGAGAAGAGCTCTTATGCACTTGATGATATGGTCCGGGTTCTGGTTCATGTCAGGTTAGTTTTACTGCTCTGTTTTGTACGTTTTCGAAAAATTGCGCTAACCAATGACGAACTTGCTATGCATTTTTTATGTAGCCTGGGGTTTAATTTTTTCTGGTGGCAATCTTCGCATTCTTTTAAATCCAATTTTTCCGATGGGTTACGTTTTCTTGTGACCATTTAAGTTTATTTTGGCTCATTCGCAGGAGTAGAATATAAATACTGTAGTACAGTTCTGTGCCTGATGAACTTCTAAAATTAGTTCTGTGAAATGATGTTCGTCTCAATTTTCCTGTGAGGAAGTGAATGTAGAGCAGTTTCACGCATTTTTCGTTTTGTTGTCTCTAAGAAAAAAAATGTAGGGCCGCATTTTTTTAAATTTGCTCAATTCAGTATTTTTAGGCCATCAACGAAGAAAAAAAAAGAGTCCAACACTTGTATTTCCTGTCGCATGAAATCAAGAAGAGCGTGAGATCCCGTCACAAAATTTAATCTCTCCGAGTGTTATTTCTCATTTTTGTGGGATTCATGTTGGAAGTATTTTTAGCGTTTTCATGGAAACGTCGATTTCGTTCGCCTTCGGGCTAGAGAATTTACTTCAAAAGGATATTCTTGCTTGGAAGAAAAGGAATTTTCGTACACGAGAGCGAGTGCCGTATTTTTCACCGAAGAAAGACTCTAATGTGATGCTCGAAAAGTACTGGAATAATCACTGATGTAATTTTTCTGAGGAAATGATTGTGTAGCACTTACACGGAGTTTTCGATTTATTGTCACTAAAAAGTCTGGGGCCGCATTCCCTGCAATTTGCTCATTGAAGTATTTTAAGGCAATCAACGAAGCGGGGGGAAAAAGCGAGCCGAACACTCTTAACTAATGTAATTTTATAGTGGAAAATTGTCTCCTGTTGATTAAAAATAAATAAATAGAGTAAAACTTCATAGATTGCTTCTAACATAAATTCGCGAAGAAAAGGGCATGTTTTTCGAGTATAAATAAAGCTCTTCATTTGAAATCCAAAATTTGTTTCTAGATTGCACTCGCCGAAGCCAGCGAATTTGGAGAGTGTGTCAGTTTCGTTGACGCCCGGGGCTGATAGAACTTTGACAAAGTCGAGGGAAAACGAAGATGCCGCAAATTTTAGCTTCAGCAGCGGAGAGTCAAGAACGTTTGCTTTTGCCTTTTTTGCGGAACCTGGAGAAGTTGGCCAAGTTTTACGGTTGAAGGAGGTGAAACTTCGTATAGTGGGAAAAACTTCTATTGGGCATTCTGGCATGACTGGTTATCCAGCGATTGTGGACTTGACATGGAACCTCGACCCAGAATCCAGTCAAGGTCTCGGTGTGGCTAGTGAAAGGGATGTGTTCGAGGTGAGCGATTTTTCCCTATAGAACCCCCGGGTTTGTATCTCATCTCAAAGGTCAATGAATATTCGTTTTCTGTCAAATCTCTGTTTCAGAGCTTCAGATTCTCCAACTCGGGACTCGAGGGACATTGTCCAACATCCTTCAAGTTGGCTGCAATCACTCCTCATGAAGCCCAGCTCACTGTAATCGCTGAACATTCAGCCCCAGCCCTTTTGGGAGAATGGTATCCCATCGTGATAAAAATTGTCAATGACGAGCCTTGTGACGCCACCAGTGCCATGCTGACATTCGGCATTGATGCTGCCGAAGGATTCTCGGACCTGTGTAAGTGTCTCAAGCTTTACTCAAGTTTGTTCGGCTCTTACGCCAGACGTTCCTGACTTCGCAATTTTCATTTTCCATGCATAATAAATAATAATTCCATTGCATTTCGAATTTTCAAATTGGTATTAACAGTGATTCCTCGCATAACAATGGTATTCCGTTTCTGGATGCTTCTCGTTGTGTGAAAGTTTCATTATGCGAAGTACAAGTTCCCTTGATGTTGCATTGCGCATCTTTCAATTCGTTCCAGACACTTCACAAAAGACCATGATGTAACTTAAAAAACATTTTTTCCTAGTTCTCAGCGTACAGTTCTGGAGTTTAAAGTGAGTGGCGTAAAATTCTATTAATCCTTGTAAGTTTTTTTTCTCTTGAATTTGTCAAATTTTAAAGACGGAAAGAGGCGAAACTACGCCCTGATTCGGACTTCTTGCTTGATTTTTTTCTCCAATTCCAAAGTTTTGCCTCAAACCCGTAGAATTTCGAACATTGTTCAGTCAAAAAGAATTGTTTGGGGAACAATTTCCTTACATGAGTCACTTTTCCCCCCTAAAATTCGTTGCGGGGGCCTTTCATCATTGTGGGATTCGCTGTAGTAAGAGAAAACGAGTCTGATTTCAGATGAGGGTGTAAAATTGAAGCTAACTGCGACAGCCAGGGACATCTAGGGGCACTAAGGCGATGTTTCATCTTGAATGCCTGCTTGACATTGTAGGAAGAATCATCTTACGGATTACAAGTTTATTATTCTCACTGCCTTGTCAACCAGGGAATGAGTTTACTTTGGTTAGTTAGGAGTAAAATCGCCTGCATCAAATTGCGTTTGTCTCTGCTCACGTTTTGTGCTTATGCTTTTGGTGACGCTTGCGTGACACCAACTCATCAATAATAATTATGTATCGGAAAGTGTCTCTCAGGCATGGAATTACCAAAAAATCGTTTTGATCTACTGTTAATTTCAACGTTTGAATTTTTGTAATTTTAGCTGTGCGCATGTCGATTGGTCATCCGAAACTGGAAATTACGTCGATGGGAAAAGAGCAGAGTGAGTTGGACTTGAGTCTGGAAGACCGAGATGACAAGAATGAAGAGGAAACCCCTGAAGCCGTGAGCGACACGAATGCGGAACTAGGCCTGACCCATGTAGAGCCATTTGCCTTGGGTACCATCCCCGGCAATGGCGGGACGTGTGAAGTGAAGATATTCGCTAAACTCTCTAAGATTGACGAGATTAAATTTTTAGCCCAGGTATGAGTCTGGAAAAAAATCGAAACGAAGACGCTATTTACAGTAGTGGAATTGTATTAATATCTAGTGCTGTTTCAGGTGACTTATGATGTGAAATGTCGACGCAATATTCCCGCTGTACTTCCTAGCCAGGATCGGAGGAATCTGCTGCAGCAACCAGCGATTGTAGATTGCTCTTGCACAACATCTGCTGTGGTCAAGACGAGGGCTGTAAAAGCATTGGAGACTACCATGACCCCGATTTCTCTCAAGATGGAATCCGTTTCTAAATTGTTTGTGAATGAACCCTGTCTCTTGTTGCTCAACGTGGTGAACACTTGTCCGTGGGATGTAATAGTCAAGAGGACCAAGTTGAATTTGGTGAGTAGTTGTTTGAGGTTTTCTGCTAATATTTTGTCATAGGTCCATCGTTTTTTTTTTTTTTTGCAGGATCTGGCTCTTTTTGAAGGGGAGTCCGAGGACATCGTGGAGGAAGAGGATGAACAGATCAGAAACCTGGTTCTTGCACCAGGAGAAAAGGCCTCCGAGTGCAGATACGCTGTTCCTTTGAAGCCGATAACTCCGAGGGCCTTTGCCTCGTCTGATGGGCCTGCTACACCTGCCATGGCCAGCTACATTGTGCATTGGAATAGGTTTGTTCATCAGGTTTCTTTTATTTTTGAGAAATTATTATTGCTCACACATTTTTAAGATCTGTGAGGCCTTGGTGGGGCGATACTTTTAGAAACCCCGTATTTACTGGAGCATAATTTCGTTGCATTTCAATTTTTCCATTTGGCCGAACACAGGACAGTGAGCTCTCGCTTAACAAAGTAAACCGTTCCTGCATTCGTTTCATAATATGGAATTTTCGTTATGTGAAACAAAAGTTCCCTCAAGGTTTCATTACACATTTTTCAATTCGTTCAAGGCATTTACCAGAAGATCACGGTGAACCTTAAAAACTTTTCATATATCCTAGTTTTCAGCATATACAGTAATTGAAATGTTTCATTAAATGTTTTCCATTTTCAAATTTTTACCTCAGAACCACGCGCGCTCAAGTAAAGCACACCCCTAAAATTTGTATAAAAATGGATCCCCGAGTAAGACCCCGGGGTTGGAGAGGAAAAATTGAAATATTTTGAAAATGAAATAGGTCAGAATTTAAATTTTGACTTGAATTTTAGTCAAATTGAATGTTGTTTTTAATGATTTCCATTTTTAATTTTCTGTAGACATTGAAAAAGTGGAATCAAGTATGCTGTGCATAACACAATAACTGCCAGAACTTGAAAAATGTGGTTGATGTTATCCCTATGTATGATGCGCACATTTTTTTTCCCTTTTTAGTTTCGAAAAAAAAAGTTCGCGTGATACTAGAGTCACTGAAACTACTTGATAAGTCAGTGACGCCATCATGGTTTTAAATTATGGTGATCAGCTGTGCAGAAGTTGTGAAGCTATGCTATTCTGAATATTTTTAGCAACACGGAATGCAAGTTTTTCAAGCTTCGGGAAATATAATATAGTACTGCATAAGCTAAAATAGATTGTCCAAGTCATTCCCCGGGTATTGGTTAAGTATCGAGGAAGATTTTTTTTTTTTATCAAGCTTAATGTAGGTTCCATCGTGTCGGGAGTTCCTCAGTGTGCCGTGCTTGTATTCCGCAGGGCCAGTGAAGAGAATGTTCCGAGTGGAGTGATGATAGTCCCGCTACCGTGTCCAGCTGTGATCGAGTGTCCTCTGTGGCTCAAATTGTTGTCTCCGTCCCATGGATACCTGCGGTCCAGCATCTCTATAGCTTACATGTTCAAAAATAGGCTGGATTCGGTTCTTGATCTCAGTATCACAGTGGAAGCCAGTGACGCCTTCATGTTCAGTGGCCAGAGTCAAGTGAGACACGCTTTTTCCGTTTTTCCTGACCTGTGAAGCAACCAGGGTTAATAAAAAGAAAAACCTAGATATCGTTTCCAAATCTCAGTACTGTACAGTGAGCCCGTGGTTAACAAACTTTTGTCTCAGAGAAAAATTCGTTGATTAAGAAACTTTTGTTTCCAGACGGAATTTGAAAATTTGGTTGTGATAGTGAATTTTGGGGTACAATCTATGGTTTTTCGAATAAAAAATCAAGCAGAAAAATTCTTAGGTAGAACAAAGGCGTACGCGAGATTCTTAAAATTTAGTGATTGAGTGAGTAACTGAGGGTCAATGTTTCGTGGTTTGAGGAAAATTAATGGGACAAATGATATCTATCTGTAAGAAGCTTTGGACAAAGGGACTTTCAAATGGATTTTTCTAGTTTTTTCAACTGTTCAACTGCCACATTTCTTCGTTGGTTACAGCATTGTAAAATTACCATTTTATTTTGTGGTGACAGCTCTATACTCATACCTGTATGGGAATATTTTCCTGGATATGAAGCTTTTTGAGTGTTGTTTTCATTAGTCATGCTTCCATCCAACCCTACAAAACGTTTACAGTATTCATTCTAGTATGTTCCCAAGTGTGTTTGTGAGGCAAGTGCTGAATTGTATTTTTTTGATTGCAGGTGAAAATGAGGTTGATGCCAAAAGACGAAACCAAGCTTCATTACAATCTGTTTTCATTGTTGGCCGGAGAAGTGGCTTTGCCGAAATTGAAAGTTGAATGCCCAGGCATTCCTGCGTACAATCCGGTTTTCGAGGCGTTACTATACAGGTCGATTCCTTCCAAAATTTTTGTGATGGTGAGTGATCACATTGATCTTCGAATCAATTCTTCATCTAAAAAAATCTTCCTTTCGTTCTTCTCGACAGCCGAAGGGCAAATCAACCTCGGAATCTGGACTGACGCCGGATTCGGACCGCAAGGTCTCGTGCCTAATTGATTCAAGCGCGAGTTGATCAAATTTGTTGAAGATCGTTTACCTTGTGGGTGAAGGCATCGAATTGCCAATTATGACTTGAAACGATGTGTGTTATGTTGCGTTACGATCGTTCGTCGTCGTCAATACATCGTGGCAAAATGAGTCAATAACATATATCATGCTTATGCATTGCGGGAAAATATCTATGAATTGCGAACTGGAGTCATTATTTTCTTTCCGCGATGAATACCCTCTGTCTGGTCTGAAAAATCAGTGTTGGCTCTCTGTGTAGCTCCGAGAACTTCATTCAACTTCTCGAAAGATTCTTCAGCGTTCGAGAAGTTAAGATTAATTTAACTTCTCGAACGCTGAAGAAAGGAGAAATGTGCGATTGAACCTGGATAACTCGAAGCTCCGTAAGTCGAAAACCTTTCGATGTCGAATTATTTTAGACCCTATCTGGATCCCCTTAAGGACAATATGCAGTAGAATCTCGTAACAACGAAGCATTTCGGACCTGAAAAAAACTCGGTATAATAGAATTCGTTATAACGAAATTAAAATGAAATTTTGGTTCTAGACAAAAAACAAATTCGTTGTTTGCATTAATTAATTATAACGAAATTCTTTTTAATGCTTTGCCCCAATTTTGATGCCTTGATGAATTATGACCTCATTTCCTGATTACAGTATCAGCTAGCAGAGATGCACCCTGACTCCTATAGTATATACAATTGAGGCGAACCAGCAAACCCGGCCATTTGCGTGAAATTGGTACAGCCGTAACACAATCTGCAATTACAGTACTACAGTATATGTGTACAGTGCATGCAATATGATGTGCATAGGTTAAAACCAAGTAGGGTTTGTGTAAAAGGCATTGTCAATATTAAAGAGCGAGGATGCATAACTGCTGAAAACGCAAATGGGTTGACATTTCGTCTGTATACTTCACTGCACAGCTATGGCATACCGCTAAGATTTCCTCGTGTATAAGGGTACAGTACATGGAATCCCGATTCCTCATGTACATGGAAGCATCCATCATACATTAACATGCATGTACAGTACTGTACAGTATTTGGTTTGTGTCAGCACTCTCAGCAGCAGTTGTTAGAAAAAACGTAGTATACAGCATATAGGAGACCTCAGAGAAAGCATAATTGTACTATACAGTATATACTGTTAACAGCTTGTCCTTTTAATTATCGTAAGCATCAAATTCTTGAATGAAGCTCATTTGAGAATGTAATTTTAACGCATATTATTCCGCTGCTTATAAGCACCCTATTGCATGGAAACCCTGAAATGCACTCAATTTTATACCCATGGACATCACAAACTGTAAAATTCTGCCAGATGTCTGGACTCAGGAGATGTTAAATTCGCCGGCATTTCCAGGAAAACATAAAAAATATTCCAGAATCTTAAAGCCCTTGAAAAAATTGGACCAAAAGCCAATTGTTTTCAGAGTACTGTACTGTACTTGAACAATATGTTTCAGCATTGCTGCTCAAGTCATTCACTTGAAAATGATGGGCTGCAGTAATGATCAGATAAATTGATAAAATATGTTTTCAACATTTGCTTTCTTTTTCAAACTTGAAGTGCATTTTCTGATGTCATATCTTCCTTTACAAGATACAACTTCACCCTTGAAAATCCAAATTTTTTTTCATTTCTTGCCATTGGAGCAAGGGTGAATTTTGCGGTTTTTTTGCAGTTTTTTCTGAGATGTTCAAGGTATTAAGAACATTCTTTTTTCCAAACATTGGAATATACTGCATAAGATAACATGAACTATTTCCCAATTGCAGTCAATGGGAAGATTAGATCAGACATTCATAAAGCATACGGTGCTTTGCAAGATTCGGAGTAGAGTACTGTAGTATTGTAAGTGAATGCACTGTGAAATGTGAACGAGTCTGTAAAAGTCTTACACAGTACAGTACAGTACAGTGAAATCTTGTACGCTTTATAAGTCAGATGTCCAATGATCCAGCCAATACGTAACAGTAAGGGATCCCTATAGGACCCTTAACAAGCGACATCTACCCCTTCTATTCTTTTATCTCGAGCGCCCGAACGGATTACCCACCCCAGCGCAAGCAGGAGACAGATGGTTATCTCGATCGGAGGAGGCGCGTGTGAGATCAGTGTCCCTCACATTCATTCGGTTGTTGAGCTTTGACCAAGAAAGTTGTATTTTACCTGACTGACCTATTGTTGTGTGATTGTGATATTTGTGTTGCGACGAGTCTGTCATTTGCTGGAGTTTGGACTGAATTAAACGCTCCTGGTTAAACGTGACGCTGGCCGAGGACTTATTCCTTCAGTATCTTATTTAACTCACAAGCGATGAAAGGTCGCGGTCCAGAGAGATTTCCAGCGAGTCAGGGCGTGGGTGACCCGAATTTCCGTACGGCGACCATGGCTGGGACTGTCCTGGACGTCGGTCTTCGTGAGACGTCGTAGACCTAGTCGAAACCTGAAGTTCGGTATATGAACATTTTGTGATCATTCATCACAAACACGATATGGCGTTTTTACATTATTTCTAATGTGACAATAAATCCTAAGAAAACACGGTTCACGTGGTGCACTGCATTATTTCCCTTGGAGCTGGGGAACAGCCTGTTCGACTAAGAACTGACATATCCTCTTCGCCTTGCGTTCCTCATTAGTAAGTGTCGAGTGGATCGGAGTTGAGTGACGATCAATACGGGCGCAGTTTCAGCGCGCGGTATTGCGGGAATTGGATTCAGTGTTAACTGTGAGAGCTTTACGTTCGTAACGATGAGTGCGACGGACCACATGCGCATGATGCTGGATCAGCTCATGGGAACTTCGAGAGATGGTATTTATGGATTTGATTAACTGTCAGCTGTTCGTGGTCCTTGCAAATAATCGTTCTTGCTGAATTTCAGGGGATAGTGGCCGAGGAAGAACCAAGTTCTCAGATCCGAAAGTTTGTAAGAGCTTTCTGCTGGGATGTTGTCCACATGATCTGCTTACATCAACCGTAAGTGATGTCGTTGAACAACGCTTTCAATCTATTGACTTCCGCGTACTTGCAGAGGATGGATGTCGGAGAGTGTGCAAAAATTCACGATGTTGCACTGAAAGCAGATTATGAAGCAGCATCCCTGAAAAAGGACTTTTTCTATGACCTGGATGTGAGTGATGATAACGTCATTCGAGGCGAAATTCCTAATCTCGAAGAGTGTTTGCAAATCGCTCCGTTTTCGTAGAAGGCCTCCCCTACTGTGCGTAATTAACTTCACAAGACCGAACCGCAGATCTCGTTTTTAGTCATTAAATCGCGATTTAATGTCCAAGCCGCGACGACAATTTTTTGTGGTGTTGTCGAGAGATAGTGAGTTCGGACTGGGCGTCTGCAGTTTTCAAAATTTCTGTCTGGGATCTTGAATGCCTCAGATAATCAAGCATTCGACTTTTGGTGAACAAGGTGTTTATCCAGTATTTCGTTCCTAGGCTATGGAGCATTTAAAAACATTTATCGCAGACTGCGATCGTCGCACTGAGCAGGCGAAGAAACGATTGCTCGAAACCCAGGAAGAACTTAGCGCAGAGGTTTCCGATAAAGCAAACCTTGTTCACGAATTCGGAGAACAAATCGGTAAGAAGCTGGCTCGCGCAGAGGAGCTCGGTGAGCAGGGCGAGGTCGAAGAAAGCATGAAGCTAATGGAAGAGGTAAATGCACTCGTTATCTCCTTCTGTCAGTTCGTCCCCTCCCCCCTTGTTTCTTTTCCCGTCCCAAGACGCCGTTTTTCGCAAGTGTTTGTGTTTCTTGGATTCCAGCCACCGGCTGCCTCCGATTGGAGCGATCAAACATGCCCTTGTTAAGATAGGATTCGTTTTTGTGAGTACTGTACCTTGCGTTTATAACAAACAACGGCTACTTCTCCCATTTTTGTATCTTGAGCATTTATAAAGGAAGAGACCCGCTGTAGACAAGTGAGATGAAGACGCTGCTTCTTGGATTACGTACGTATATTTTTGCCAAACTGGACTTGTCCCGCGAACAAAGCATCTCGGTTTTAAAGCTAATCATGATGGTCCATTCACTTGATGTATTTAGCCCAGGAAGCATCTCCCGATCGTTGACGGTAATTTTAGTGGAAGGAGATCCATACGTGGGAATGTTCATCGTTCATATTTAAATAATAATGTAACTTTGAGGTGAAGCTCTTTATACCCGATGTGGTTTTGTTCGCGGGACTTCACCAGACTAAAGATTAGAAAGAAGTGAATGCCGTTGATGAAACCAGTTACGATGAGGGTAGTCTCCTGCCGAACGGTCCGTGAGTATATGTGACATTTATCTAATAGCGATTAAAGATGTAAAGCACGAAGTTATACTTATCTGTCACAGAAGTTCGTCAGGGAAATTTACTGTGTGTAAAACGTCTGTGTTTTGGACGAGACAGTATGGGACTCGTAAGTATCCCACGCAGTAGTTCCTCGCGAAGAGAAAAATTCACTGGTTCGTTTAGCCAACCGGTCCGACATTCCGACGGAATCTGCTCTTTGGTTTTGTTCAATTCGTCAGAATATCTTTTGAACGATTAAGATCGGAAATTTGAGGCAGGATGCGATTTGTTGAATGCCGACTCGTTGAGCTAAGATTTGTCGGATTGTTGATTGACGAGAAGGCATGAGCGGGAGTTTGATTTCTTGGTTGGTGTCGTGTACTGTGTGCCGGGCAAAAAGGTTGAGGAGATCAGGAAGAAGAAGCTGATGGCCGAATCCGAATTGCGGAACTCTATGCCGGCCAGTAGCTACCAGCAACAGAAGTTGCGCGTCTGCGAAGTTTGTTCCGCATACTTGGGCATCCACGACAATGACCGGCGGCTGGCTGACCACTTCGGGGGCAAGCTGCATCTCGGCTTCATCAAGATCAGAGAGAAGCTGTCGAGCTTATTGGTGAGTTTCTTCCTTTTGTCATTTTGAGCAGAATACTCATGAAGTTCTACAGTGATTGACTTCGTGCGTTCATTTTCTTTGTTATTTAATCGAGCATACAGAGTTGAATGGATTCAGAGTGGTCTTGAATTCATTCAAAGATGGTAGTGAGTCCTGTATCCCCTGATTTTGCGCTTTTCTTTTAATCTTACGAAGGAAACACAGTACTGTATCAGTATTTCTTTGCTCTGTTCTTCTCATGGGCTGAAGCGCCGAAGTTTGATGGAGACATCTTGAGTTGAAAGAGTCCACATTGGGTTTCGCGTGAACTTCTTGAAAATGTTGAAGCGAAATTTCAATTCTTCCTGAGCATTTTTGAAAAGGAATTCTTGAAGCAGGAAAAAAGAACAGTACATTTACAGTAATTTGATTTCACGACCCATTCGAAAATCTCAGCATATCTTGTTGCACATCCAACTCCTCAAGTTAATTTTGATGTTTTTGAAGGAACATTATTCCTTTTAATTTTGTGAAGCTCAAATGTACTGCTTTTTGTGCTGCATTTCGAAGCACTGTATTTATCAAGACATAATGATTAGATTTTCAAACGTACTGAGCCTAGGAAAAGAGCACAACTGCTCCTCGATATTTTGTCGCATTTCAGTTTTGTATCAGGTGCCATCATGCAGGAATTACTAATGTTTCCAGGAAAGCTTCCTGTTTCTTATAATTTTCAATGACAAAGGGTTTCATGCAATTTTTTTCAATGATGTGAAGTCAAAAATAGAATGTTCAAAATCATCCTGAGTTTTTTGTGAGCATGGGGATGTGCGCTTTAATTATAAATTATAACCCAATGATATTCTCAGAAAAGGCCATTATTTTGTCAATTTTGATCCTATTTTAAAATCCACGACAAGGATTTTTTGTGGCACTAAGTTGGTTGTCAACAAATTGGGGTTCCATTAAGAACACAATGGAGATAAATTTGCGCAGGGGAAATGAATCAAGGGTTGACTGGTTTGTTTTTCCTATTAGATGTCCCCCAGGCGTGGCACTTCTTGAAAGAGACTGTAAACCATATTGCTTTTCTCATTCAGCTGGAACGCTGGTGAATATAAGGGAATGAATCTGAGGTCAAGGGTTTCAAATAGCCAATCGTCTTCATTCAAATTTAGCTGAACAAGGTTTCAACAGATGCAGTACAGTGTTAGTATCTCACTGATGCGACCTTCCCAAAATCGTCAGAAGCTGAAGTCTTGCTTCCATGGCGCACCCCTGCATCAGCAAGGCGTTTGATTGAAAAACCCATACAGTGCTTCATTCTTTCTTATTTTTTCAAGCTTGAAAAGAGAATAACTTAAGCGTTGGAGCTGTTATCGAACTTAGCCACTACCGCGAATGACTCGTCGCAGCGTGTACAAGTTGAGCAAAGTCATAGCTTTATATGAGGGTTATATGATGTTCTTTATATGACGTTCTGAAGGTTCTGGGATTTTTTTCAGATTTTTAAAGAAATTCCTCAATTTACTGCTTCATGATGGAGTGGAAACTTTACAATTACAGACCGAAACAACTTTTTTTTAAACTACAGTAATGTCTTCTCCACATTTTAGATAATGTTTGAGAAAACAAACATATTTCCATTTTCAGCACTCTTTTTACGTGGTTGGAGAACTCTGGCTGTAGCTGGACATATTTTAATTATCATCGTGCTGTACATTTAAAAACCCGAAAGAAATTTCCAGAACCTTGAAACATGGGCTACGTCACGGATTTTTTGTAAATAATCATACCTACTCCAGAAATACCGAAGGCCGCGTTCAACTAGGACAACCCTCCTAATACTGCCGCAGTCTCAAGGTCTCTAACCCTGCCGTTGAACTGGAAGACAGCCGCTAGGATTTGATAACATGAGTTGATTAAATGAACGCGTTCCTGTATGTGTTGAGTGTGTGACTGAGTGTATGACATTACCCCCACATCACCAACGTAGACCTTGTAATCATGCCGTCTGTCGTGCTACTATTCCGCCATTGGTCGACTCTTGGTGTCGCGCCCCGTCATGCTTGCGTAAGCACTTTTCCGTTGTGATGTGTCGCAAGAATCACGGGGAGCTGCTTCTATACTCCTTCATGGCTTTTCCCCAGTCTGAGGAAGTGAATTGTATTGTGTTTGTGAGCGTTTAGAGTTTGGAGGACGCCGAGATTATGTGCGATATTCGTGCGTTTGAGTCGGCGATGTTTGCGCATTCTTTCGAATTGGGCTAGCCGTGGCCGAGAAATCATGTAAGTGTTGCACGCGCGAATCGATGTAACCTCATGTGAGATGTCAGTCTTTTCCGAGTCTTGGATAAGACGCCAGCAGCATTGGATAAAAATGATGGCGAATACTTGACGGAGAATCTGAACAGGTTTGCTGGAAGGCGAAACAAATTGGTCTTTGTTACTTGATGAAAATTGACCAAGTCGACCCCAGTTCACAACTGTGGCAAATACTCATGTAGCGAATCTTGTTCTGGAAAATTATCGTCTGGAACCTACTAATTTTTTGAGTTCGCTCTAGAATAGCCGCGATGTTCTTTCAGGCTCATCATAGCGAATTTTACGTTATAACAGAAGGTTTTTCCCTGGTCCAGAGAGCTTCGTTCTATCAAGATTTAGCTGTTTTCCAGTACAATCCATGAGATTGTTTGAAACGCTTCGCCTTTGACCCGGAAAACTATGCAAAACGTTATGCTTCATTTGTCTCGCTCCCTGAAGGAAGTCAACCCTCGATTGAAACGAATACCCCTCCGATGCGCTCTTGAGGGAATCCCCGATTTAGTGCTTAGTGACTTAGTGACATAGAAAATGCTGCGTCTTGAATGAAAAGTGGGCCAAAATTAGGGGCATCAAGTCCTTTTTAAAGATTTGATTATGCCAAAACTGAGAATTACATGTACAGTACATGCTCACATAAAAACTCAAAATAATTATGTACATTATATTTTTGAATTTACGTTATTGAAAAATATTTTTATAGTTGCATGACACCTTTTTTTTTGAAAAATTTAAAATTAAAGTGGAAGCTTTTCTGGAAGCAATGGGAATTCACTCATGATGGCGTTTGATATGAAACTCTAACTCGATCAAACCTTGAAGAAACAGCTTTGCTATTTCACTAGGCACAATAAATAGAGTATGTGTAAAAATCTAATTAAGGTACAGTATATTCTCCTATTACTTTGTTCAAATATAGTGTGAAACAGTAAATTTTACGTTCAAACTATTTTTGTGGCCTTTGTTCTGATGAAACAGATTCAAGGGCCTAACAAATCCGTAAACAAGCTTGTTTTGCTAACGGTAAAAACCCTCAAAGAAACCTTATTTTGTACAATTCCCTGATTCAGTGCCACCCTCGCTCAATGCCGCAAAATGTGCCAGGACAAATAATGGTACTGTACTAAATCGGGGGTTGGTTTTTCCGTTTTCCCTAATACTCCGTGGAAGCATGGGCGTAGTCTAAACGGAACGTGAGATTTAAATCCTTTTTCTATTTGCCCCTGCAGGAATCTTGCGAAAAGCGGCGGGAGGAACGCCGCGAGGCACGCGAGCAGGAGCGGTCGGCGTTGGAGCGGCGGGAAGGCGGCGACCGAAGCGGAAGGAGAGGCGATCGTGACGAGCGAAATGGGCGTAGGGACAGAGACCGAGATCGGGATCGCCGAAGGCGGTCAAGGTCTCGCACCAAGGATAAGTCGGTGGGCGAGGAGCGATCCAGGTCTCGCAGTCATCGGTCCACGTCCCGGTCTCGCAGATCACGATCGCATCGCACAAGGTAAAAAGAAAAAAAAAAAAATTTCTGATATTGGAGTATTTCAACTTGGCTTTTGATTGTTCTCGCTTTTGGTTGTTTTGTTGAAAACGACCAAACAAATAGAAGGATTGAGTGTCGTAAAGAATGTGTTCATCGTGGCACGGTGTCGGTTGGCCTGTGGAGATCAATTTTTTGCAGGTGACACGCACACGCGCTGTGTAATACAGTAGAATCTCGTTTAAAGGATGCAGGTGGACTCAATCTACTAAGAATCTCAAGGGACTAGAAAAAAATCGTTATAGAGAGCATTTCGTTGTAGAGAACTCCTATAACATGAGGAGAAAACCCTAATAGGCCAAAAAAAATATTTGTTGTAGAGAGTGCACATGTCATGGATTAATTAAAACGAAATTGTTTTCCAAGTTCGTGTCCGATACCCTTATTGTTGAGTAACTTACAATGTAACGAATTTTTCGTTGCAGCGAACCAATTTAACTGTCCTCAATGGCTTACTTGTGACAAGATTTTAGTGTAATTGAATTCTGGCTTTTGTCTTGAAGGAGTCTGGCTTCTGTTGAAAGAACCAATTACAATACTGTACATTGTTTAAACGGCTGATGTACGGATTTTTCAGTAATTCACTTCTACGCAATTACACTGATTCGAATCATGAAATTATTTTAAACTGGTTAGAATTAGATTGTACAGTTCTTAGAATACTTGCCATTGATGTATCACAGTAATTGAAATTTTCCCTTTGTTTTGAAATATCTGCTCCTGCTATGCTCCGAAAACTAATATGCGGTACTGTACAGTACTTCCGAAATGACTAATTTACAGAAATATTTCAGAGAGATTGATCCAGTTGTGATTGATATTATTTGAAGATCGAATGAAATGAGCGAAATATCATTCCGCCAACGCTTGTTGTATTGCGTGCAATACATATTAATTATGCAGTACCGTTCATAAGGTCGAATTCTAGCCTCTGTGATGGATTTTTGTGTGTGTTTTTGTTTGAGAAATGTTGGTTTTTTGATTACCTGTAGTTTTACCTGTATTTATTTATTTTCTTGTTCGATTTTGGTTCACCCGATTAAAAACCTATTTGGATAAGTAAATTATTCAGTTTAAAGTAGTTTTTTCGCCCTTTGCTTTTCGTGAAGGTCGTTTCGCAGTTTTGCCAAATGTTCAGTTTTTCCTTCGCGATTTACCCTTGTAAACCTGAAGTACATGTACTTATAATTCGGCCATTTGTACTGTAATCTGATATATTTACGTGCAACAAACTCTCGAATGTGGTTACGATTGACTAATCACGGGTTTCCTCTGTTCCCGTGAACGCATGTGATCCTTCAAGGAATCTTAAAACTTGAGTTGATCCGAGAGAAACGCTGACGTGTCAAAGAGCAGAAGATAACCTCGGAATTCACGACTGCGCGTTTGTTCAAACCGTGTTATCTCGAGGGATTCTCACAGTCTTACTCCGTTTTGTATTGCAGTCGTAGAATTACTGGCTGCATATGTTCATGTGGGGAACCTTTTCTGTTTATCCGATGGTGTGTTTTCTCGCGTTTGTTTATATGGTATATGTATTTATTTTATTCGTAGGAGCCGATCGAGGGACCGTAGTCGCTCTCGGGATCGTCACTCATCTAAACGATCTCGACGGATGAGGTAAGATCTGTTTTCACCTTATTTCTCTCGGGGGTACGAAAAAGAGAATGAAATCATTTAATTGTTTGAATGAAGAGAAGACGGCTGGCATTTTCTGATTAAAAAAATATTTTTTGGAGGACGTTGTATCTTTGGTTCTTTCTATCCAAAAATGAGAAATTCGAAGAATGCCATTTTCGAGGTATCCCAGTGAGCATTTTGTTGTCCAATCTTTGAGTTAGATTCGCAAGAGAGCAATTAATTAAGGGAACAACAACTTCAGGAAAAGCGTCATGAAATTTATTTTAATGGGGGAAAAAAGGCTCAATAAAACTTGACAAAGCATCGAACTTCTGGGTAGCGCATGCTAGCGCTCGCATTTCTGAAATCTTAAATTTTATGGAAAACTCTTGCCTAATTTTATTCAAAATTTTCCAGCCTCCCATAGGTTATAGAAAATACCTGATGCTTTTCCATTATACGTCGAAGTGAATGATTGCACTGAAATTTTTGTATACTACATAAAATTTCTTGAAGGTTGACGCCCTGGAATTAAAAAAAAACCCTAACCAAAACAGTTCAGAATTCCCCGAAAAAACTTGCCCTGAGCTGATCGTGAACTGTACTGAAGAGTATTTGAAAAAAGGCAAAAATGCTGAGATAAAATAATCGAAGTGTCGGTTAATTAGAGACGACTTAGGAGTGAATCTCCGCACACATTATAGGAAAGTTACATAGAATCAAAGCTGAATACAAAAATATAAATTTTTCATTCACTGAATCATTTGTAGAAACTCGTATTCCCATGTGACTGAATGATATCTTCGTTTCAGGTCTGTCGACAAGGAAGACGGCGAGGTGAATAGCGATAACTCTGACTAGACAGATTCATGAGAATAAGACTTGATTGTGAAGTTGTCTGATTCGTATCCACTTTTTGCGTTATGAACGGGATTCCGGGTGAATGACGACTTGCTGGAAAGTTGGTTCCGTTTCGAGTTTCCGTTGTCGATGTTGTGGTAATATTCTTTCTTCCATTCTTTCGTTTTGTTCTGCTTGCTGTAAAAGAAGCTCGATATCAGCGTTCGGTTACAGTTGTTGGGTTTTCATTTATTATTATTTTTCCAGTTTCATCGTAATGTCAAAACGTTGTTTCCTCCGCAGAGTTGGCGGCATTGTGTGTTGAATTACAGGCTGCTGGCTTCCGCTATGCTTTTATTTTTTCTATTCATGATCCGAAGGTTTATTACACTTCTGTCGCGGTTCGTGTGATATTTTTTTTATCCCGAATTTCGTGACTATTTCGACAGATACGATTTGTGCTTTCACGTCGATCGCGTTTAGCGCGTCGATCGGCAATAGTGTTTTTCAAACTTGTTTTTCAAGCTGTGATGCGAACAAAAAGTTCACTGCCGAAAGGCGAGCAATCATTCCATGATTTTGTGCCGGTTGTGGAATCATGAAAGTTACCGACTTTTTGCGAATCATCGCAATTGCGACTGTTCTATCGATCCAAGCCTCCGAAGGTGAGAATCATATCACGAAATTTGAATTACAAAGTGCTGTGTAACTTCTTTGCGTTCCGGGTGACTTGTTGAGCACATCCCGAAGAAGTACCCGTCTACGAAAAAGAAGGAAAAAAAAGAATAACAGTGCAGTTGAAAAGCAGTGTGAGCATGAAGTGGCGCCAGGAATTGATTGATTGTTGATTAAAATGTTTTGCGAATTGCCCCTTTTCTTAATCTTGATATACTTCATCCATCTTTGAGAAACTCCCGTTAAGAATAGCGACTGAATTGACGAAATTTCAGGCTGGTTTGGCACTGAAAAACTGTTTTACACTTGTTTAGAATGCGCTCGGGTGTCCAACTTCTGACGTGTCTGAATAATCGAACGCTTTTGTTTTTGAATAGTTACATTTTGCCAAATTTCCAAATTGTTCGAGGCAACGGAAGCGTCAGAAGATGCTTATGTAGTTATTCTTGGTCGATTGTCGGATGTTTTCAGGTTTTTAAATATTTCTGTTTGCAATTATCAGGGCTCATTCGGAAATGCTTCTCGTGTCGGTCACGCGGAGACCGAGGTGATTGCAAGGATCCGTTTCGTGTGAATCAAACATTGGTAATCGAGGATCAAGAGTACCAACGTCAAGTTGGGATTAAAGCCATTCCTTGTGCTTCCGGTTGGTGTGGGAAAATCCTCGAAGGAGGAGGTGACAAAGACGGTGAGTTATCGTGTCGAAGTACTGTATTCG